ATGGGTAGGGGATAGGAGGTGTGGGCAGGGGGAGGGGCCCTTTCTCCCCGCCCCCGTTAGTTCTAGGAAATATCTCAGAGAAGGCTCTGAGTAGTCTGGCTTGGGTACTGTGCCTAACCCTAAACTACTTGTGGCCAAAGGATGATAGGTCCACTGTTGGTGCTGGGGAGTGAGTTGGGCCTCATCTGAACTCCATGGACAAAGACTCAAAGGGAGGTTGTCCCCTGATGATCTGCTAGACAAAGAAGGTAGGCCTTTACACTTGAGCGTCCCCATCTCTGTGTGTCCTTGCGCATAGTTAAGCTCACCAATTTCTCCTGTATTTGGTTGGGAGTCAACTTCTGGAGACTGACAATGTTAGACTCAGCCAGCAGCCCCAGGTTCCAAAGCTGTTATCAGGGTCCAGGCAGCTCCTGATGCTAGATTTGGGTCTGCTCTTAGAGAAACGGCAACAGTGGCTAAGCAGCAAGAGTCCTAGCGTTCGTCCTTAAGTCAGGCTTCACCCTGAGTGAAGCCCGCCTCCCTTATCTACCGGAAGACAGAGACCACTATGAGGGGCCCTGGGCAGAAAGGGGGACTCCAAGGCCCTGCAGCCGTGGTTGGCATGCGTTGTCACGCAGCTTGAGTCCTGACATGGGTCTGCATCTGCCCAGAGGAAGGGGGCCCTTTGAACAACTCCGACAGCTTTCGAGAATTCATCAGGCTTCTAACAGGCTAACAGCAGCTTACGTGCCACACGGGGGCAGATAAGGGGCTCTTGCCCCAAGGCTGACACAGGAAGAATTTCAAGGCTTGGACTTAGACCCAAGTGACATGGCTTGGGTATCAGCATGATTGCTTTATGAGGTATCTTTGTTGTTCCTGGGTGTGATGTGGCTGGGGTATCAAGGTAGTAAACCCGCAGTCCTGTGTTGCTCTGGTCTAGCAGACACCTTGCTCCCCATGGCTCCCCATGGCCTGCCAACGCCTCCAAACCCTGCAGTGGGGCGTTTCTCTGTGAACTGACACCCAAGGTTGTGGGGAGTGCCAGTCACCCCCCTGTAGGTTCCATCCTGGATGCTGCCTTCAGCAGTTTTTGGAGTAAACCGAAATGAAAGAACTTTGAACGGTATCCAAGTGGTCATTCTGGCCCATCCTCAAACCCAGACCAAACTTCATGGGTCAGTCAAGTTCATGGAGCAGCGAGGCTCCTGCCCAAACTCTGAAAATGAGTAAATAAAACTTGCAGGTGGAATTTCAGGCACATACCAAGAAAGCTGCACGTTGGCTCCACGGACCTTTCTACTCAGGCTCGAGCGCCCCCAGCACACTTAGTAGAGTTCAATGGCTCTCCTTTGGGGCGGGAGAGGCGTGGCCTTGGGGGCCTCTGTTGTTGTTGTTGTTGTTGTTGAACACGGAGTGTCTGTCATCTCTCAGCAAGTTAGTGATTTGTATATATAATCTCATCTAAATTTCGCAGCAGACCCACATCATCTCTGAGGTTAAGCAGCTTGCCCACATTACAGAATTGCCAACCACCGAAGGACTTCATGCAATCATTCTCGGAGTCTCTCCTTTGGGGGGGAGTTCTATGAGGGCCTCCCAGCCCCACATACTGAGATATGTCTCTTCCAGAACATCGAGTCATGGAGTGACCCAGGTGAAGTGACTTGGCTCCTGTAGACCATTCCCTGGTCTCCAACTCCCTGCTTCCAAGGGCAAGAAGGGCACGAGCTCCAGCTTCAGGACCTACTCCTCTGCAAGGTCTCAGAGAAGCTGCTCATGTGGGCAGAAGGCCACAGTTCCCATTCAGACGTGGCTTTCTGGGTCACTGGAGCTCTAAGGTTCTTTGACTCCCCAGTTAGGATTGTTTTCACTTTTGTATTCTGGGTTCTGTAGAAAATTCTAGTTTTTGTAGACTCAAAGCAAAATCTTAAAGCCCTTAGAGAAGGTCCGAGGCCCTTTAGGCTGGTGCCCCCCGTTTTCACCTTTGATCCAGTCAGCCCACCGAGTTCTGTCACATTCAGAGATGCCAACGTGGGGTGGACCTCATGAGCAGTATAAGCTCCAGCTCAACAGTGTCCCCAGGTTCTGTTGTCCCTCTGCTCCATCCTGTCACTATGTGGGTTTTATTCTAAGGGAGGCTTCTGAGGAGTAGTCTTATTCTTGAATCTGTTTTGGGGGGGGTTTTGGTTTTTTTGTTTGTTTGTTTGTTTTAAGGAATGAGATCTTCCTCAGAGGTCCCCAGCAGACACTCTTTGCCCATCCCTGGCAAGGAGAATGGGATCACCATGTTGAGCTTAGATTAATTGCCAAGGGACCAATAAATGCTAAGGGGTAAGCTACTCTGACCACTCCAGGCTTATGAGATGTTATGATTTATAAGAAATATATATTTGGTCTTCACCCATGGTTCCTGGCTCAGAGCTCCCAAAACCCTTGCCATTTCTGGAAGTACTGAGAGCTTAAAGATGTCTCTTGTGTTATGTTAATAAGGCGACTTTTGGAATGCACCTCAAAATGAGGGCTGGTTGCCAGGGGAGCCAACCATGTGATCAGGAGGGTTAGAACCTTCAGTCCTAGCTTATGACCTCCAGGGAGCGGGGGAGGGACTGGAGATTGAATCATTTCGTCAACGGTTGGTGATTTTCAATGAATCATGCCTATGTAATGAAGCCTACATAAAAACTCAAAAGGACAAGGTTCAGAGAGCTTCCAGGTTGGCGAACACATGATTTGGGAAGAGGGGCATGCCTGGAAAGGACTTGGAAGCTCCACACCTCTTCTCACATACCTTGCCCTATGCATCTCTTCCTTCTGGCTATTCCTAAATTATATCCTTTTATCACAAACCAGTAATCTGGTAAGTGAAATGTTTTTCTGTGAGCTGTTCTAGCAAATTAATCAAAACCAAAAAGGGGGTCTTGGAAACCTCTGATTCATAACCAGTCCATCAGAAGCCTAGGTAACAACATGGGCTTGCAACTGGCATTTGAATTGGAGGCAGGGGGCAGTCTTGTAAGATTGAACCCTTAACCTGTGAATCTGATACTAGCTCTGGGCAGATAGTGTCAGAACCAAGTTGAATTATAGGACACCCAGCTGGTGTCTGAGAACTTGTTGGTGTGGGGAAGACTACACACGCACTCACACATGCACACACACACACACACACACACACACACGCAAGCACATCAGAGGTGGGTCCAGGAACTTAATTTACCTTGAAATTTAGAACCTGTGGGTTCCTCAGAGTCTTGAATGCCAGGACAGGACAGTACATGACAGAGCCCATCGGGGTCCTAAAACTCCATCTCATCTCTAGCTCCCTGCAGAGGAGATGCTTCTATTCTTGAGGCATCCTTGTTTTGTTCCTGGTAAGCCTGGAATAGTTTTCCATACACCTCTGAGAACAGCCGAACTCCAGGATGTTTTAGGTCTCGATAATTCATGAGTGGAGCCAGTATCTTTTCAAAGTTTTGAGTTCACCCCTTATTGTGGCAAAAATACCTGTCACTTCGTACTGCAATCTGGCAGAATGTGCATATATCAAGGCACAACTTTGGGTCTGCTTCTCCTGGTAGTATAAGATAGGAAGGAGTTCATTCATGTTCCTCTAAGGTTCTGGTAAAATCATTATGTCATGTAAATGAACTAGATAATCCACATCCCACATTGCCTTTACCATGGAGTGGTTAAAGGGATCAGGGAAGATGTTCTGGGGCATCCCTTCAAGTTGATAAAACACCATGGACCAGTAAGAATATGTTTTTTCTTTCCCTCATTAAGCATAGATTTTTCTTAGTACCACTCCTCATCAAATACCAACTCCCTGTATGGCAGTAGGTCCCACCTCTGAGAAAACCTATGCACACCCCCATTGTGTCCAAGTGTTCTACCCACTACCTGGGGAGTGGGGAGTTTATAGGGCCACAATGATAATCAGTAGTTCTTCAAAGAGTTTCTGTAAATCTCTAATTTTTTTTAAAGCTATTTTAACCTGCTCTCAGCAAACATGAGCCACACTCCTTTCATGGAGAAAGAAAAGGTTACTCCAGTTTAGGGTTTCCTTTTCAGTCTCTCCTCCTGATCTCTGTGTGGTTAGAAATCGCTGACATCAAAGCCCTCTGGATTTATCCTCAGGTCCAGGTAGAACAAACCCAGAAGAGAGCAGAGGGGTGGTGCTTGGCTCCGTGTGGCCTCTGCCCACTCTACCCACCATATCTGGAAAGGGAGGACCACTTTGTACCTACACACTGCCTTTGGAGAATGCTACATTCTGTAAAGGCTGGATTTAAAAATCAGACATCTGGTAGCTAGAAGAGCCAGGAATCTACCCAGGTCTCACTCCAAAACTGTTTTCACTTGGCCAAAATTATATGTTGTTGATATGTCTGTCTACTTAGAAAACCCAAGAGAATCAATTAAAAATCTACTAGAGCCACAAAGAGACCTCAGTAAGCTGACTGCTTTTAAAATAACTTTAACAATTTCAGATAACATAATGAAACAATTTACTCTTTAAGGTACCTGCTAAAATCAGGGTGACTCCTTCTCTGGGCTATGTTTCTAGAAAGAATCAAAAGAAACCAGTAACAGTGGCTTCCTCTAGGGAGGAAAACTAAGTGACCAGGAATGGGAGTGGGAGGGAGACTTACACCTCACTATTCAACATTTGATTGTTGTGCCATATGTACATGTTACCTATTGAAAATCAAAATTCTGTGGGATTAATAAGCAGTGAGGCAAGAAGTTCAGAATATTGGGGCACCTGGCTGGCTCAGTGGGAGGAGCATGTGACTCTTAATCTCAGGATCCTGAGTTCGAGCCCCACATTAGGCGTTAAAGATTACTAAAAAAATAAATATAAAAAAACTTTTTTAAAAAGTTCAGGATAGGGGCGCCTGGGTGGCTCCGTCATTAGGCATCTGCCTTCGGCTCAGGTCATGATCCCAGGGTCCTGGGATCGAGCCCCGCATCGGGCTCTCTGCTAGGCGGGAAGCCTGCTTCTCCCTCTCCCCTCTGCCCCTGCTCGTGTTCCCTCTCTAGCTGTCTCTCTCTCTGTCAAAAAAAAAAAAAAAAAAAAAGTTCAGGATATTAACAGGACATTAAGCATCAAGACATTAGAACGACTGTTGAGTTATTCTATCACCTCTCAATCATTTTCAACCTAAAATATTATTAAACAACACCTATCGGGTAGCATTTCAACCCTCTCTAATGAAGTTTACTGTTTTTTCAAATGTCTAAGAAGATAGGAACCTCCTCTCCTATTTTTTAGGGATAGATTAACAAAGGTTTTGCTGTTACGTGGGGGATAGTTTGCTCTGGGGGATAGTTTATTACTCCTGTTATTACTTCCCTCTGGGTAAAATGACTGTCAGGTTAAGATCCAATTACTTCTGTCTCAGAAGGTTCAAAGTACATCTCTCTCTTTTTTTTTTTTTTAAGAAAAGCTATTAAACAATAAGATATCATTAATTTGGGGCAGACAGAGTTCTCACAGCAAAACCTTATGAGCATTTAGATGCTTTATTCTTTCCAATTATTAAAGTTCTCTTTTGCAAAAGGTACACATAGATCCTGGGCGTCCTGAGCGCTTTTAAGGAGAAGAGTCCATAGTCACAGTTTGCCAATCCCATGTGATTTTCCAAGAGAGGAAAAACTATTCATTGGAACATAGACGGAGGCTTCTGTTATACAGAAGAAAAACTGATCAAGCATCCCCTGGACTAGATAATATTTACATCAGCAACCAAAATATAAAATACCAAGAGATCATTTTAAGAACTGTGCAGATTGGGGAGGGAAAACACCAGACAAAAATTTCTGAGCATCATAAAATAGGGACTTGAATAAATGGAGAGAATTGCAGAAAGTAATGGCAAAGAGCTCAGACCCTGGCGTCACAGGCACCTGCTCACTTGTAAAAGTGAGGGGGTTCCTAGTATCCTCTACTGCAGAGAATAACAGAGAGATGCCTACAGAGAGGGGGCACTGTTACCTGTGATGTTGTCTGTGATATGCTGGGTTCCACAGAAGCTAAAGATGCCAGCATTTTCTGCAATAAATGGGGCAGAGGCCTAGACAAGTTGGGCCTAAACCTGTAACAGGCTACATTTTCTAGCAGTTTCTCTGTACTTGCCCAATGCCCACAGTCTCACCTCATGCATGGCTGTCGTATTAGTCAGGTTCTCTAGAGAAACAGAACAAGATATACAGAGAGAGAGAAAGATTTATTTTAAGGAATTGGTTCATGCAACTGTGGGGGCGGGCAAGTCTGAAACTTGCAGGGCAGGCCAGCAGACTGGAAACTCAGGCAAGGGTTCTATGCTGTAGTCTTGAGGCAAAGCTGATTCTTCCCAGGGAAACCTAGGCTTTGCCCTTACAGCCTTCAGCTGATTGGATGAAAGCCACTCATATCAGAGAGGACAATCTGTTTTACTTGAAGTCAACTGACTATGGATGTTAAGGACATCCACAAATACCTTCACAGCAACATCTAGACTAGTGTTTGACTAAACAATCGGGCACCATAGCTTGGTCAAGTTGACAGAAATTAGTCATCACAGCCTCCTCCCTGGGGTCTCCTGGACCCACCACTTAGACTATCACCTCCTTCCATGGAGGTGTCCAGGGACATAGCATTTCTCCTTTTAGGTCCCCCTAACACAGACAGACTGATAACATCTCACTTTCCTACAGGCTAGATGACTACCTTCTGTGGTACCTTCAGTGCCTCCCAGGGTGGTTATCACACACACACACACACACACACACCCCTACTCTTGGAGGGAAGGAGCTACTTCAAGGGCTCAAAGGGGAATTATCCTCCAAATGCCAACCAAAGGGACTTTATGGCTCCTCTCTCACTTGAGGAGCAACAGAGAAGGAAAAAAAACATGTACAGATTTAACCTCTAATGGGACAGCCAGCTACACATAATAGAAAAACAAAAAAGACAAACAACCTTAATGTCCCGCAATAGGTGGTGGGCTAAAAGGAAAAAAGCCTTGTCTATACAACAGACCACTATGCAGTGATTAATGATCTGATGTGAGATTATTTCATTACCTTGAAAAATATTCACAGCACAGTAAGTCCAAAAATCAGGTTACAAAACAGCATATTCAGTATGATCCCAGCTTGTAGTATGTATAGAGTAATTACATACATACGTAATTCTGTACATATATATATAATGCCATGACTATATATATAGTTATTTAACATAGATTTTTTTATAAAGATTTTAATTATTTATTTGACAGAGAGACAGAGAGAGAGCACAAGTAGGTAGAGCGGCAGGCAGAGGGAGAGGGAGAAGCAGGCTTCCGGCTGAGCAGGGAGCCCAACGCGGGGCTCAATCCCAGGACCCCGGGATCATGACCTGAGCCGAAGGCAGACGCTTAACGACTGAGCCACCCAGGCGCCCTTTAACATAGATTTGTAATACAAATCATTATTTTATATACCAGTAAATAAAAGATTGCTAATCAAATTATGACATCATCAATTTAAGATACATCCTGGTCTCGGGGCCCCTGGGTGGCTCAGTTGGTTAAGCATCTGACTCTTGATTTGGGCTTAGGTCATGATCTCAGGATCCTGAGATCAAGCCCCACATAGGGCTCATGCTTGGCTGGGAGTCTACTTGAGATTCTTTCTCTCCCTCTCTCCCTGCCCCTCCCTGCCATCTCCCTCTCTCTCTAAAATAAATAAATAAATCTTAAAAAAAAAAGTACATCCTGATCTCAGAAATAATAAAAAGTGAAAAAAATGCATCTCAGAATTGATGAAATACATATGTGCATGTGAATTATTTATACCTAGAAAAAAACAGAACATATTATACCAAAATTGTAACAGTGGTTATTTTTAGGTGTCATAATTATGAATAGCTTATTTTTTAAAAGATTAGTTATTTATTTGAGAGAGAGAGAGAGAGCATGAGTGGGTGGAGGGGCAGAGGGAGTGAATATCCAGCAGGCTCCACGCTGAGCTCAGAACCCCATGCGGGGCTCGATCCCACAACCCATGAGATCATGACCTGAACCGAAATCAAGAGTCAGACATTCAACTGACGGAGCCACCCAGAGACCTCAAATAGCTTATTTTTTGCCTTTGTGATTTTCTGTGCTTTCTAAATTTTGTATGTTAGACATATGATATTTGAGTAATTAGAGAAAACAATAAATGCTATATTACCCACCCCTGCAACTCTTCTAATCCTTCTGTCTCTTACGTCCTGCTCCATTGTCTTCGGGTTCTTTGTCCAGCCCCCAGTCTCTGGCCATGTTGAGCCATATGGGAGCCTGAGGGCAAAGGAAATTGGCTTTCATGCAAGCAAACTTTTCAATGATGTTTTCAAAATCGAATTCCTTGCTTATTTCACTTTCCACTGAGAGACTGTCATTTTTGACAATTTCTTTTGACCAAGTGATCATCTCAAATAAATTTTAATTAACTTCCGCTGAAGTGAGATCATAGTAAATTCTCTTTTGGTATAAATTAAATATTTAAACTGAAAATAATGTTGTGAGCTTTAATACACCTACTTCTCAATTTTTCAATAGTTTTTCAATGTTTTTAATGTTTTCGAAAAAATAACACTGAAAAATACATTTTAAAATGCATATGGGGTGCATGCGCCTTTTCCTTTCGCCTCATGAACAAAGAGTCTTTCAGGATCTGGACAGTAAAAAGGAGCCTGGGCAGACACCATCTCCACAGCCGTGGGCAGCATTTTATAGCAAGATATACACAGCTCTTTGCCTTTATTTGATAAAGTTTTATACAGAAGAGAGAAGATAACATGTCTTTAAGAGCTCTTTATCAAGAATTTGGGTGGGGGAGGGAAGAAGGGGTTGTTAAAGGAAGAACTGAAATTTTCTACGATATGAAGCTGGTGCTTAATAAGAATAAAAAATTCTAACGTTTCAAAAAACAATTGTTGATATTTTGTCCAAGATAGATTTTTTGCATTAATTTGGGTGTATTAAAATATCACGTTAAATATTATTGATTACAAAGGTTTTCAGTGTCCCCTTCAATTTTGCACCTAAGGCTAATACTTCACTCACCTTACCCTAGTCCTGGCTCTGCCCCAGTCATTACCCTTTTTACATGTTTTTCCTGTCCCACTAACAAAGTTTATTTTTTATAAAGCTGTTTTGTAAAATGGTTTGTGTACATTTGTACATTTATCAGCCTCCCTTCCTATACTGTAGGTGTCCTGAACACAGAGATGGGCTTATTTACCTTTGTATCTCCGTGTCCTACCCCATACGGAGGCTGGCATGCGGTAGGCTTCAACGTCATTTTGCTAACGGTAGGACTAGAAGAAGGAAAACAGCTAATGCTAAGGGCTAACATTCTAATATTTACTGAGTGCTTATTGTGTGACAGACGTTGGCAAATAAACATTTTAAAATGTTTAAACATAAACATTTTACTTATTCAACCTAACAACTCAATAATAAAAATATTTATACCCATTTTACAGATAAGGAAATTGAGGCTGAGGTGAGTGAACTGTAATGCCTGAGGGATTATGGCAGAACTTGGGACAGCTCTGCTTGGGCTCCTAAAACATTTTTTGCCTTGAGGGTTTCTCTTTTGGGCATGAGGGAAATGAGATGAGAAGGAGGAAGGGGAAATGTGGGTGGAAAAGATAAAGAAACAGATGTAATAGAAGAACCAAATTATCACACTTTCACATCAGTTATCTATCTGCTCAAGCTTTACAACAACACTAGGCATCATTAACCTCACCTTCCAGATAAGAAATGGAGACATAAAGTTCAAGGAACTTACTCAGTTCTTTCTGCTGGTTAGCCACCTGTGGGTGGCGGAGGTGGGGTGGAGTGATAGCTGGGGGGGCAGGCCATCAAGCAGGCCAGCTGTACCCCCACCACCATCTGCCTGGCAAACTCATGGCAGCTTCCTCTGTAAACTTTGCTAAGTGGAGGCAGCACCTCCACCTAATGGGCCAGTCTCCCTCCTTCCGCCCCATCTAGAGGTGGGCGTCCCCTCTCTGGGACTACATGTGGAAGCAAGAGACTTGATAAGGGCCAAAGCTGATGTCAATAGCCTTACAGAGCTGCCCTTGTCTCCGGTGCTTCAACTGATCTGTTCCCCACCACGTTTCCTGCCTTATGGGGGAACCCCCTAAAGCACACTGATGTAAAAGGCGAGACTCAGAACACCCAGAAACAAAATCTAAAATGACCAAGAAATAAAAATAAGATGGTGAGAAAATGCTGAAATTCACAGGACTTCAGGAGAAGCGAGGAATCCAGGCATGTTCTACAGAAGAGCTTAGTGATGGGAAGAGTTTCGGTCATGAATATGCATAGATGACTTCTGGAGAGATCTTAAGGTCTAGGAGGGAGAAAATGTACCTTCCTTTTTACAGGGCTTGAAAAAATTTTTAACCACCTGCCTATATAAATTCTTCAATTCAAGAAAACTATTTTTTTAAGTGGCTTGCCACCAGTGACAGGCTGAAGTCACAGTCACCATTCTGCAGTGGCTCACCTCCAGACCTTCCTGGAGTGGAGGGCAGGGAGCCCAAACAATCCTTCCAGCTAGGAGAGACAGCTCGGTGTATGACATATCAGGGGCAAGTCACACATCCTGCAGACTACATGCACCTCCAAATTAGGCAGCTAATTATTCTAAGGACTCAATGTCATGTCTAAAATTTGAGTCAGCTGAAGTAAAATGGGATGAGTAATTTGCTTCCGGAATGTGAAGCACACAACACAGACAGATGAAGCCGGACACCACCCTCTCGGGAACTCCAGGCTAGGGTTGGTGGTCATGACTCTGCCATAACCTGGGGAAGAACTGAGGCTGTGAGTCCAGCCTAGCCCATCACCCTCAGGTCAAGTTGGGTCTTGACTAAGGCTCAAGGGCCAGGCCAGGATCGCACAACCCCAAGGGTCCCAGAGGCGAGCTGGAGGAAGGGCGGAGCAAAGACAGAAGGCTCAGACCATACAGGAGTGTCTAACCCCCAGGAAGTGCAAATAAGGAACAGCAACCCACAATCTTCCATAGGAAATGCCCTGAGTCTGAGTAAGACAGCTGTCGAATAAGGCAAGTGACAAGAATGGTAGCAGCTGACCAGTGGGAATTATAGCGCCTGAGGGTCTGTAAAGGGGCTAAAAGGGATGATCCAGGTAAATTCTGGAAAGGTCTCTCTTTAGAAGTTTACACCCCAGAGACAGTCTAGTGTGAAAGCAAGGGAGTTGGGGGGGGGGGATTGGACTTAAGAGAGAGGTGACCCTGCCAAGAGTGCATGGACGCCTCTCTTCTCTCCTCTTGGGAGAGTCCGTCCTTCCTGGTCCCTTGACCTAGTGTAGCTGGGCAAAGTCTCTTCCAGGCTCCACTGGCCTGCCTTGTCTCTCAGGACTCCATCACCGGCAAAACTCGGGCCTCCCTCTGAATAAATAGCTCAATCCTACCTCGGGGTCCCACAGATGACTTCTTGTGGGAAAATAAGATGACCTCCCTTAGACCAAACGTGGATCCCCAAGTGGCTTCTCTGCCCTTCCCAGTTCATGTGAGAACAGTCTCCTTGCTCAGATTTACCCACCCACATGCGTGCTCCCAGGTCTTACAGACTTAGAAATACACACGCACTTAAAAACTCAAACAAGGGGCGCCTGGGTGGCTCACTCGTTAAGCGTCTGCCTTTGGCTCGGGTCATGATCCCAGGGTCTTGGGATGGAGCCCCGCATTGGGCTCCCTGCCCCGCAGGAAGCCTGCTTCTCCCTCTTCCACTCCACCTGCTTGTGTTCCCTCTCTCGCTGTGTCTCTGTCAAATAAATAAAATCTTTAAAAATAAATAAAAATAAAAACTCAAACAAAAAGAAAACCAGAATCAGTAGTCCAAGCTTCTACCATAGAACCTTTCCAAATTACCAGCTATTTGTAGCCATCCATGTTACTTCTCTATGACTGAGATAAGGACCTAAAAGACGACAACACGGAACCGTAGGGCTGGAGAGAACCGGTGGGATGCCCGAGGCTATGGCAGGAGGATTCAGAGCCTGGGCCTCAGAACTTAATTTATTGATTCTAATTCTAGCCCTGCCACCACTTGATCAATGGTTCTGAAAGTTGAGCAAGCACCCAAATCACCTGGAGGTCTTTTAAAAATGCACATTGGTGGGCCCCATCCCCAGAGTTTCACAGTATTTAGGTCGGGGAGGGGTGGCCAACAATCTATGTTTCTAACAAATTATCAGATGGTGCTGCTGCTGCTGGTCCGGGAACCACACGTAGAGCAAGCAACACTCTAGGCTGTGTGTTCAGCCGTCTCCCGTGTATACTCTGGCTAACAACCGGAGTATTTGCTGGGGTCGGGGTTTACTTGAGACAGGGCGGGCGAAGCCCTTAGCATTGTCCGTGGCTCACAGTTACTACCTGCTCTCGTCGCTGGATGGAGGGGAGGAGTCATTTGCCCAAGACCACCCCGCCAATGAGAAGTAAACCTGGGACGGAGCCCCGGGGCTTCTCACCGGCCGGCCGCGTTCCTCCCCTCCAGCGCCGCTGCCTCGCGGCCAGGAGCGCTCTGAGCCCACGCGCCGCACGCCGCGGTTCCCTGCACACGCTGCTCCGTGCCGCCCGCGGCTCGCTTTAAAGCCTCTCGTCTTTGGGGTGACTAGAACGCTCCGATCACTCTCGGCGCGGAGAGTCTGGCCGCCGAGACTGCAGCCCCGGGTGGGCTGAGATCTGCAGAAGCCGGAGAAGTCGGGCTCCTAGCAGCGCTGGGGCGGGGGATGCCGGCGGGGCGCGGGGCGCCCTCCGCCGGGCCGCCAGCCTGCCGGCGGCCCTAGGCGCAGCCTGGCGTTCCCCTGCCCTCAGCAGCGCTCGGAGGCGCGCGGGGTGGCCGCCCGCACCTAGCCGGGGAGGGGCGCGAAAGGCGCGCCCCAGTGGCCGTGCAGGGCCCGCCCCGGCCCCGCCCTCCAGGACGTCCCGTCGGGAAACCTGCGAGCCGCACGGCGGAGAGGCTGCGGCTCTGCCTTGGCGCGACAGGTAAGTGGCCCAAGGAGCCGGCGACCCTCGCAGGCGCCCGCGACCGAACCCCCGGGCCTAGAACGCAGAGCTCTCTTTCTTCTCGGGACTTCCCCCCAGTCGAGCTCGCGTCCGCCAGGTCCTTGCTCCCCACCTCCCTCCTCGGCCGGCCTTCTCCTCCTCCACTTCCTCCTCACCACCCCCCGTAGTGAAATGAAGGGGTTGGGCCAGACTGGTCCTAATCTGTCGCAGTGGCCTCTAGCTCCTCCCTCGGTAGGACCCCCCACCCCCTCCACCTTTGGAAGATGAATGAAAAGCTCCGACCTCTGGGACTTGGAGGGGGGTGGGAGTGGGAGAGGGACAAGCTGTAGCAGTCCCTCCAGGGTTCTACGGCCTTTTCCCTTTACCCACACATGGCCCCGCATCCCTTCTGTTCCCCTTCCCAGATTGGGCCACCCCATGTGCCCCGCTACAGGAAATCTTTCAGAGATATATCCTCCTGCCAGTGCCACGTTGCCCCTGAGTAGAGGTGGGGTCTCAGATGTCCTCTCTCTGGTGTCTTGGGCCTTTTGGAAGTGGGAGCTGTGTGGTATTGTGGGAAGGGAGTCCCAGGGTGTTCATGACTGTGACTGTCACCAACTTCCCAATTTCCCCGTCACTTGTTCCGACAAGCCCCAGGCTAACTGAAAGGAGAAACCGTTTGTTACTTGCCTCCAGAGCTAGTCATCCCAGACCCTGATGTCTGCAGAGGGTAGAACAGGGCTCTCCTGTGTGTATGGGGGAAGGGGGGCTCAGTTTGTCAGCAAAGCTTAAAACAGACCCCCTCTATTGGCTAACACCCAGGGCAACAGCCCCAGGAAGGGTTTTAATGCTGCCCCTCCAGACCCACAAATGCAGTTTACAGGCACTGGATGAGGTTAGCAACTCTAGACACACCAAAGAGGTGTGTGGGCTTCTGCTCGTTTTACCAGAGATGTGTGTGCACTGCACAGGCCCTGTTCACCTCTCCAACACATGAGACTTGTCCCTCCCCATCAGAGGAAGGGTAAAAAGGATGAGACAGGCAAATTCATGTACAAGGTAAGGTGAGGGGTTTGAGATATACTTTGGTTCATATTATCCTGCAGAAGCCAGTATCACTGCAGATATTTCCCTAGTTCCTGTTCCTCAACATTGCCATTCATGTAGGCACACAGAGGTAACAAGAGAAACTACTTTCAGGGGCATCAGGACAGAAAGGGCAGGACTGTCAAAGAGAAGAGGGAGTCTGGAGCCAGTAGAACCATGAAGGATCCCAGGCTGCCTGAGATGGCCTCAGCCTTGGTCATCGCTGTCCGCAGTTGGCAGGACAGCTCACACCCAGCCACAGCGGCTGGGGAACTCACACCTGAGCAGGGGAGGTGCTGATGCATGTTGGATGCCCTCTGAGATGAGAAACATCTTAGCCCAAGTTCAGGTGTCCTGGATAGGACATAGGACCATAGGCTTAGTCCAGGTAGCCATTGCCTAGAATGGAAGTCAGGAATAGGAGGGGCAGCTAACCCTAGGGCCAGGGGCCCCCCAATGCAGGGAGGCAGTTGGGTATCATGGATCCAGGCAGCCGACTTAGCTCTGTCTCTACATTAGCTGTCTAACCTTGGCCAAATCACATAAACATTCCCTGGGTGGGGAGCAGATGAGAAGGTGTCTATGAAAGTGCTTTGGCAAAGCTCCAAGCAACAGCCAAATAAAAGGCAGCATGGTGTCATGGTTAAGACAGTGGGCTTTGGAGAGACCTGGGACCAAGTGCAAATTCTGCCTCTGCTACTTCCTTGCTATGTGACCTTGATCACTGTGCTGGCTTCCTCCCTGTGCTTTGATTTCTTTCCATGTAAAATGGAAAAGATAACTGTCATTTGACTTGCTGTGATGCATAGTGATATCAAAAGTTGTGGTGGTATTGCTCTAAGCCTCCTCTGGCTCACGCAGACCTCACCAGCTCTGGAAGTGAAGCTGAGGATCAGAGAGGGTGTCTGTGTGCCAGAGGGACCCAGCGAATGGCCGTGCCAAAGACTTGGGTCATACAGTCCTCTGTCCCACTCTGGGAAAGCCCAAAATGTCCGTTCTCATTCAATGAGAATGAGAGTGAGGGTTTGAATAAATGAAAGGTCAAGTGCAGGGCAGTGCCTGTCTCAGTGTTGAGCTCAATGCTGTAATTGTGCTGTGTACAAGGCTCGCACAGTGAACAAGGTTGGGTTCAGTCTGGGGAGAAAAAGGACTGTTAGAAGACTCTTTTGTGGCACCTGAGAGCCCCATGGGGGCAGGTTATTCTCCTGTACCCTGTGCAACCTGGTCCTGAGCCCTAGGTAGGTTTGAAGGAAGGAAGAAACCCAATCCCTCACCCTCAGCTCTACCTATAACAGAGAACAAAGGACAGACAGACGAAGGCAATGGAATAGCATGACCAAATTCCTCAGGGCTGTGGGATGCTGTGGAGCTGAGAAGGCTAGGTGGGTTGGTCAGGAAAAGCATTCTGGAGGCCGAAGATTGAGGACGAGGAAATTTAAGGACTGGGAAGGAGAAAGCAAACAGGATCTAGGTAACCTGAGTCTAGGCCTGTTGGTTCTCCCTCTCTCACAAATTCTAGTGGGGAAGTCCCACAAGGGGGAAGCGTGGGCAATGAAAATTAGAAACAAACACACCAGGGGTACCGAGGGGCAGGATGATGCACCTTTAGTCTAAGAAGGCTTCTTGGAGGAGGGAGTCTGAGGAAGAATTTGAAAGAGAAAAGAACACAGCTTGTTTAGCAAGAATGTAAGGGAAAGGCTGTGAGGAGGAAAAGGTAAGCCAGGGAGGGTGAGTGACAACAGGAAGCCGACTGCCCAGGCCCCGGGTCGGCTACCAGCAAATGGCGCTAAAGGAATAAGAATATAGCTGCTCAGATTGTGGAAGGGAGAGGGGCCTGAGGCAAGGCAGGCAGTTTCTGCTGATCCTCCAGATGTGGGAAGATAAGGATGCAGTCTCGGATGACGGTTTTGAGAGGGAGAGGAGGATCCAGGAGGTAGGGAATGAATCAGCAGGACCTGGGAGAGGGGCGTGGAGTGAACCTGACATTGAGAAGGCACTGAAAACTATCGGAGGTGCCTGGGAGTGGGGCTGGGGCAGGGGCTGTTTCAAGGATTTCCGTGCTACTGGCCGCGACGGGGAAATTGGGTAGACCCGCCAACTTAGGGGCGGGGCGTAGACCGTGAGCTCAGGGTGTGGCAAGTCGAGTGTGGGTGGTCCTGGGTAGCAGCCCTACGGCCGGGAGCAACCTGTGGGGTGAGGAGAGAAGGTAAAACCACAGTTCTGCCCTCCCCCCCTCACCACCCCCTCCTCAAATCGGGGGCCCTGCGCAAGCCTTCAGAAATACCATTCGGGGTCACCCCTCCCATTCCCCGTTCCCCACTCCGACACGGAGGAACCAGCAGTCTCCGAGCCTCCCTTCAAGAACAGTTGCGCATCCCTGCCCCGCCCGACGGGCCTGGAGGTCCTCCAGTGAAAAACCCGTGAGGGGCTGAACTTTGTTTGGTCACGTATTAGTTTGATTTTCAGTGGTTTTTACACACTTGGAATAAATGAACAAACATTTATTGAGCACCGACTACATGCCAAGCACTGTTCTAGGTATACCTTGTGAGCAAATTTGGGTTGAGTTTTTCAATGGAATATCCGTGTTTGGGTAACTTCGGCTTAAAATGTTATGCAAACATAAAATGAACCTAGATGGGGGGGGGGGTGACATGAGAGATTAGCTACAGAAATAACTTTGAGTGCATCTTTCTGGGAAAATACGCCACAGTCCTGCCGCTTGAATCTTGAGGAAAAGCTGAAATGTCTTGAAGGTGTAATTAAGGGGAAAGTGAAAACCTGCCAGCATTCTGTAATCAAAAGGGTCAGAGGGTGGGAGGAGGGGTTTGCAGGAGAGAATTTGCTACTCATGAGAACAGAGGAAGTGAAATGAGTGTTGTGTTTGATGGAGAAGTGCTGGTGACAAGAAAGAATCAAATGGCCCCAAAGGGCCTCTCAGTGCTCTCCCCCCGACCAGTTGCTTGAAATTCACCTGCCCCCTCCCCAACATGATGGCTAGCTCCACACACCTGCGCCCTCGGTGAGAGTCGTGACAGTCATCACTTTTTCGAAGAACCTGTAATTGAGCCATAGTCTGAGTAACTTGAGCAAACATCCCTGTGGTGGTGTCGACTGCTTACTTCCGGGCTGCCACGTCTCCGGGAGGTGAGGAGCTTAGCTGATAAACAGAAACTTTGTTACAAAAAGGCCACCTGGCCAGCAAGGGCGTGTTCTGGGGTGGCTGACTCTGGTTGTCACAAAGCTGAAACTTTGCCTGGGACTTACAATTTTGTCATTGTTAAAGCATTTGCAGTCCTAGGTAGGATTTGGGGGAGGGGTGGGGCACGTATAAGAGTGGATTGGTGAGTGGCAGGGCGACTGGGGGGTGTGTGGGGGGGAACAGCCTGTCCCCAGGCTCAAAGGAGCCTAACCCAGGCCCCAGACCACCCACCCCTACCCCCCAGGTGACCTCCAAGATGGAGGTAAGAGTATGGGAACAGAGCAGTGGCCTGGGACTTGGGAGACTGGCATCTGCTCTTGGGAGCCACAAGCTGTGTGATACTAGAGAAGTCACCTAACCACTCTGGCCTCTCCTGTAAAAGGAGGGCGCTGGACTCGCAGACAGACCCAGTCAAAGTGGCCTGCTGAGATGTAACAACAGAATACCACGGAACTCAAATGCTTGCAACTCAAATGCTTGCGGCTGTAAGTGCATTCAAAATATTGCTTACCCTTGTAGCTTGGAACAGGTCACTTTAACCCCTCGGGCTTCATCTCCTTGAATGAGAGTTTATGGAGTATCTACTCCCTGAAAAACTTGGGCTAGACTTTGCAAGTGACCGAAAAGGCGAACACAACCTGCCTCTCTGGCCTGGCATTCACAAAGGGGCGAGAGAGAACAGACTCCTCTGACCTGAGGCGGGCCGTGAGGAGGCCAGCGTGGGAGCACAGACAGAAGGGACGAGAGGCTGGAGAGAGGCATTCTGCTGGGAGATCTGAAGGGGCTTCTTGGAGGAGGCTGGGATATAAAAAGGAACGACTGCACTGCCTCACCAGCTTTCAACCTTCTGTGACCGGGCCGGAATAAGAAAGGCATTTTACCACGAGACGTAGTGCCCACTCCTATGTGAGGGGTATCCCAAAAGTCTTCGGGCACTTTGACACTTTACTCACATCAGAGGTATGAATTCTACAAACTGACAGAAAAGCATCATTTGAGAACGTGGGGATTTAAATTTCTTTCACCTTTATTGAGTTTGATGAATTTTAAACAACAGAATTTTCCTTTTCATTTTGTATCAGGATATGTTTATCATCTCTAATGGGTGGAGACAAGCATTAAAATAAAAATTTGTTATTCAGAATTCAAAAAAATCAGGAAAAAGAAATTTTAATAAAAGTTCCAAATGATGTTCTTAAGTCTGTAGTGTTTACACTTCTGAAGTTATTAAAGCTTAAAACTGCTAAGACCTTTGGTATGCTCTACATGTGTATATGCAGTAACTGATATGAAATTTTAACAAAAACTATACTTACCCATATTGCATGTGATACACTTTGGTATTTTCTTTTTTGTTCTATTCTATTCTGAGTTTTTTTTAAGATTTTATTTATTCATTTATTTATTTGAGAGAGAGAGAGCACACACGTGCACGTGCAAGAGCTGGAAGGCAGAGGGAGAAGCAGGCTCCTCACTGAGCAGGAAGCCTGATGCGGGGCTTGATCCCAGGACCCTGAGATCATAACCTGAGCTGTAGGCAGACGCTTAACCGACTGAGCCACCCAGGCACCCCTCTATTCTGATCTTTTAAAGAATGTTTTCGGGACGCGTGGATGGCTCAGTCGGTTAAGCGTCTGCCTTCGGCTCGGGTCATGATCCCAGGGTCCTGGGATCGAGTCCTGCATTGGGCTCCTTGCTCCCCGGGGAGTCTGCTTCTCCCTCTCCCTCTCCCCTCTGCTCATATTCTCTCTCTCTCTTAAATAAATAAATAAATAAATAAATAAATAAATAAATAAATAAAACTTAAAAAAAAAGAAGTCGGGTTCCTTTAAAAAAAAGAATGTTTTCATGCTGATTTGCAACACTTTAGATTTATTCCACAATGCTACAATGTGTTGTAATCAGTGGTCTGATAGACTAGGACTGGGTCAAACCTCAGTGAGAGAAAGTAAGCTTGTGTTGTGGCTAGTGAGGCCAGAGGAGCAGGTCCCATTTGTTCAATCTAGGAAAGCTTCCTGGAAGAAGAGGATTTCTGGCGTCATCTCGGCACTGAAACCAAGATGGTTCCGTGTGTGGCAACCCCAAGGGTGGCTGGAGGAAAAAGAGTTGGGAATGAATGCTCAGCAGTAGCAGGACAGGAATGAGTGGATGGGGGCTGTGGACATGTTTACCAGTGGTCCTGGAGGCCAGGTGTGGGAGCTCAAAGATGAGGGAGCTATACAAGACACTGGGGGGAGGATCCTCTGAACTTGACCAAGTACTACATACAATAGGGACTACTTCTTGACCAGGCTGGTGGAGGGCTGACTCCCCACCCTTGCTAACCACACTTCTGGGAATCTCCCACACGAAGGCCAGGAATCCTTAATCCCAAAGTCTTCTGGCTTCCATCTGATTATGTGTCCCTTCTGCTGGGCTCTTTCCTATTGCCCACATGCTGAGCAAACAGAGACCTAGTCCCTTACCGCCCTGGCTAATCACAGGTGTCTCGTTTCATTTCAGGATGTGGTTAGTACCTTGAGGAACTGCAGACTCCAGAGAGCAAGGCTTAGACTGGCAGGCTGAATTGAGAGAGCAGATGCCTGGGAAGAACTCAATTTAACCCTAGGTCTCTTTGTCCAGGGCAAATAAAAGGAGCAAAGGTGAACCTCACTGCAAAGGACCACAAGGCAATGCCAGGACGAGAGAATTGGAGTGACCTGGGTGATTCTGAGTGAATCAATCAGGGAGGGCTTCCTGGAGGAGGTGAGTCTCGAACACTTGGCAGCAGCTGGTAACTAAGCTGTTACCAGGTCTTTGTTTCTAACTGTGCTCTCTTTCTTGCTGCAGTGGGACGGTCGACAGAAAGTATCAGGGCAGATGCAGCCTGCAGGATGGTTTAGTACTCTCATGGCAAACACTCCCCACTTTTCGGGCCCTGTTGTTTATGCTTAGCTGGGACAGTTCCAGATTTGAGGTGGTGTCTAGCTCAACTCCTTGTGCTGTCCCAGCATAGCTCAATCTCTGAGGCAAAAATCTGCCTCTCCACTGAATCCCCATTCCCTCCTTGAAGCCTTCTTCAAGCCCAAAGAGAGATCTACCTCTCTCAACTTAGCACTTACTCTCTGTGCTGTTATTAAGTTTTAATTTTATTAATTCTTGAATAGGTAATGTAGTCAGGTTTCAAAGTGCAAAAGGGTATTCAGTGAAAGCTCTTTTTCCTGCTCCTGTCTCCTCCCTGGACAGGTGCTACCTGCACCCAGTGCTAGGAGTGCTTATTCTCCAACTAGATTTTAAAATCCCTTGAGGAAAGGAATTCCCTCATGGCTCCCTGTCCCTCTGTGTCCCAGATAGGGTGGATTCTCCCATCCCATCACCCAAGGGAGTTTTCCTAGCATCGTCCTCCCTGCTGATCCACACCACTACTATCTTGGATCAGGACCCCCACCCTGACCACCACCAAACCTCTCTCCTTTGGCCATCCAGCTGCCAGTCGGATCCATCTCCTAGATGCCTTCCACCGGCTATCATACTGTTTTCCTGTAATGCTGGGCTCAGGCTAAGCTTTTGTTTCTCCCATACCTCAGGTCAAGGGCAAACTCCGTGGCACGATGACCCAGTTGCAGCCACCTCTCCAGGCCCATCCTCAGCTATTCCTGTCTGTCTTCATGCCCCCCCAAAATGAACTACTGGCAGTTCTCTGCCTGACCGTGCTACCTCCTGCCTCTAGGCCTTAGGCTGTGCTGTCCCCTCTGCCTGAAATGGGCTCGCCTTGCCTGGCCAGCTCCTACCTGTGGGTTAGTGCTCAGTCCAGGCTCCTCCTACTGCAGGACCTCTTCACAGACATCACCCTTCCCCACTTGCTGAGTTTCCTGTGTCCTCTCTTTCTGGGCACCAAGGGTACCTGTCTCACTGGGTGATCTCCATTTAAAATCTGACTTCCCAGGGCAACTATACTTCAATTAAAAAAAAAAAATCTGACTTTCCCGGTTGACTCTATGCTCCTTGAAGTCTGGACTTGCTCATCTCTGTCTCCCCCACTGTGATGAGGAAAACAACTTTTGAGAAAGACAGCTTCATTTTTCTGAGTTGCTGCCTTGGCATTTTACCGAGTATGATTACCCTACTCACACGCAGAGTCTGGACGTTAAGATAGGACTTGAGTTTAGAATACCTGCCAAAAGTTCCCGTTTTGCTTTTAGCGGGGCACCTTTTAAAATAACCACTTAGGAGTTAAGCTCGAGAAAAGTTAGTGACCTCTGTCCCAATTGCCTTTGAGTATAGGTGCCAGCGTCTATATCCGTCTCCTGCTTGCAGGTGGCCCCGGACCAAGGACTGCCCTTCCCCCGGTTCATTGCACCCCCTTGTTTCTGGGATCCGTAAGTAATAATAAATCTTGTGCCTCTGCTTCTTCCTTTGTGTGGGTGTGTTGAAACTGGGCCTTCAGTCAGAATGATCCCGTGGGTTTCACTTCCCCAAAGTGGGACCTCAGATGCTGGGGGAGCCACCTGCTGATGCCATGGGGGTGGCTTGTGTCTCCCCGTTCAGCAGGTCATAACCTGAATATTCTTAATTCGGTACATAAGCTCCCACTTAACACACCTGTCTGGCAGAGTACCTGACATGTAGCAGGCATTCACAATGCTGGCTGAATGAATACATTTCCTCCCCCGTCTCCTAGATGACTCCTGATACAAAACACTTGCTCAAAGAGATGTGGTTTTATTTGACTTTGGATGATGCTGCTGAATCTGCTGTTATAAAAGAAAACCACCTGTCTAGCCCTTCTCCCTCTTGAAATCAGGATGGACTCATATTCCCCAGATCCAAGTGACTCCAGACATCTGGCTTCTCTCCACAGGCAGGAAGGAGCTTGTGTGTTTAAATAACAGCAGTAGGGAGTTCAACTGGCATTACTTTTAAACAAGACATGCCACAGGTAATGAATGTGGCTTTGGCCAAGGACCAGGTACTCAAGGATAATTGCTGGGAAGCTGAGCAGGGATTTATTAATTATAATAATAGAAATAACTGATAGCATTTATTGAGGGCTTAGTACGTGCCCGGCACTCTGCTGAGTAGTTTATGTACATTATCTCTGATTTCATCCTCACTGCAACCCTGTGCGTTAGGTGTTAGTTACCCCCACTTTCTAGATGAGGAGATGGAGCCTTAGAGAGATGAACTACTTTGTCCCAGGCACACACAGAGGCTAATAATGGAAACTAACACTTTTTGAGAACTTACTATGTCCAGAGACTGCTAAACTTTTTCCATGAATTATTTCATTGAGCTTTAATCCTTACAACAACCCTAGGAGGTAGGTGCTATTGTTACTAGAAGGGGCAAAACTGGGATTTGTACCCAGGTCTCCTGCCACCAACATCTAGCATTTAACCAATAAGCCTTATGCTTCCAGGGGCGCCTGGGTGGTTCAGTCGGTTTAGCATCTGCGTTCAGCTCGGGTCATGATCCCAGGTTCCCGGGATCCAGTCCTGCATGGGGCTCCTTGCTCAGCGGGGAGCCTGCTTCTCCCTCTCCCTTTGTCACCCCCCCTTGACTTGCTCACGTAAGTGCACACATGCACTCTAGCTCACACAAGTAAATAAATAAAAGCTTTAACAACAACAACAACAAAAGCCTTATGCTTCCAGAGTTCTCCACGGAAAATTTTACATTCATCCTTTGAGCCATGTGACTAAGTTCCTGAGGATGGAAGCTGGTGAACACATAATCCCATTTCTGCCTGGAAGATGTTGTCATAGAACCTCAGGTGTTGTTGTTGTTGTTGTTGTTTTTAAAGATTTTATTTATTTATGTGAGAGAGAGAGAGAATGAGTGATAGAGAGCACGAGAGGGAAGAGGGTCAGAGGGAGAAGCAGACTCCCTGCCAAGCAGGGAGCCCGATGTGGGACTCGATCCTGGGACTCCAGGATCATGACCTGAGCCGAAGGCAGTCGCTTAACCAACTGAGCCACCCAGGCGTCCTGTTTTGTTTTTTTAATTAAATATGAGTAGATACAGAAGAATATTTATAAAATAAAAGTAAGAGTGTAGAGAATAACAGTTCCCCCAGCAGCCACCATCCACTTAAGAAAAAATACTTTCAAGTCCACTGTAGGGCTCTATTCCCATATGTTTTCCTCCCTCTCCAGAAATTTTGGTTTTATTATTCCTTCAGGGTCTTTTTCCCCTTCATTTTTCTTTTTTTTTTTTTTAAGATTTTATTTATTTATTTGACGGAGAGAGGGCACACAAGCAGGGGGAGTGGGAGAGGGAGAAACAGGCTTCCTGCGGAGCAGGGAACCTGATGCGGGGGCTCAATCCCAGGACCCTGGGGTCATGACCGGAGCCGAAGCCAGATGCTTAATGACTGAGCCACCCAGGCGTCCCTCCCCTTCATTTTTCTTTCCAGCTTGACCACTCCTTCATTTTTGTGTTCATAAACAATATATTTAGTTTTCCAGGTTTTTGCCTTTTCTGTAAGTGGGTTCGTCTGCTATGTATCTTGCTGCAGCCTGCTGTCTGGCCTCAGCGATTGCCCCATGCAGCTACTTGTAGAAGTTGCTCACGCTTTGTCACTGCTCTAGAGTACTCTGTGCTGTGGGTATTTCACACTTGTTCATTCTGTGGGTGGACATGGCATTATTTCTAATTTTGGCCATTTTAGTCAGTGCTGCTAGGAACTTTCCCCTACATGCCTCCTGGCTCATAGGCACAGGAGTTTCTCTGGGATGTAAAACTGGTAGTAGAATTGCAGGGTCATAGGGGGTGAACATTTTTTTCTTCTTCATAATTTTTCTAGAAGATTTATTTATTTATTATTAGAGAGAGAGAAAGAGCGGGGAGAGGGGCAGAGGGAGCAGGAAAGTGAGAATCCCAAGCAGACTCCCCACTGAGTGCAGAGCCCGACATGGGCCTTGATCCCATGACCCTGAGATCATAACCTGAGCCAAAACCAAGAGTCAGAGGCCTAACTGACCTCACCACCCAGGCACTCCCTGGGTGGGTACATTTTAAATTTTGCTTGATAATGCCATGTTGTTTCCCAAAGCAGTTATGTTGATTAAGCCTCTTCATGCAGAGTTTCAGCAGTCGGTTGGTATATCCCAGATGTATGAGTGTCACAGTCTTAGAGCAGGAGAGAAACACTGAGTCTGGTTTCCTCATCTTGTGGAGAGAGGAAATTTAGGCCCAGAAGAGTTAAGTGACTGGGCCTAGGTGTGGTCACCATTTGGCAGCAGAGCATGGACTCAAACCCCAAGCCCCCGGGCTCCCTCCACACCTCTGCCTTGGCTCGTTTCTCTCTCTCATCCCTTCCCTTCTCAGGCTGAGGCCCCTGGGTGTAGCCGCTACACCCTACCGAGCTATTTCCAGTGTCGGGCCCCCCGCTCAGAGCTGACCCAGCCAGGGTCCCCGTGGGCTCCCGAGGATGCGGCTCTTCCGCAGACGCCACATGCCCCTGCGCCTGGCCATGGTGGGCGGTGCCTTCATGCTCTTCCTCTTCGTCCTGCACCGGGATGTAAGCAGCTCGGAACGGGCCACCGAGAAACCATGGCTGAAGTCATTGGTGAGCCAGAAGGATCACGTCCTGGACCTCATGCTGGGGGCTGTGAACAACCTTAGAGATTCGATGCCTAAGCTCCAGATCAGGGCTCCAGAGCCCCAGGAGACAGCTGTCTCCACAAACCAGTCCTGCTTGCCTGGGTTCTACACCCCAGCTGAGCTGAAGCCCTTCTGGGAACGGCCACCCCAGGATCCCAATGGCCCTGGGGCAGATGGGAAAGCATTTCAGAAGGACAAGTGGACCCGCCTGGAGACCCAGGAAAAGGAAGAAGGCTATAAGAAGCACTGCTTCAACGCCTTTGCCAGTGACCGGATCTCCCTGCAGAGGGCCCTGGGGCCAGACACCCGACCCCCTGAGTAAGTAGCCCCCAGAGTCCTGGGGTGAGGCCAGGGCTCGGCCAAAGGTGTGGCTGGTGTGGTCATGGCCATGGGCCAAAGGCCAGGTAAAGAGCTACTGGTGATTGTGTGATATGGTCAAGGATTTCTGCTAAGCCCTCCCTTCTTTTCCTGACCAGTGCCCTTATCCTCAGGGTTGGTATCGTGGTCAGGCCAGAGGCCCAGGGAGACCGTGACAGTAAATTGGCCAGTTATGAAATTATAGTTGTGAAGGAGGAGGAGCTCAGGGCCTGGGACCAGGACCTGGCACGAGGGTAACTGGGAGGGACAGCTCCAGACTGCAGACTCGGTGACCTTGCCCTTCGCGGAGGCCTGTCCGAGAGCCTGTGGGACTCTGCCGTTGAGCTGTTGAGAAAGGGATGTTTCCGGACAGCAGCCCGGATGGTCAGGACTACCCCACACCTCCTGGTTTCCCTCTGTGAAGGGCCACAGGACCAGGAATTCATTCCAACTTCCATGTGAAGCCGTTTATACTCACAGTCCTGGGCAGTGAGCCAGCCCTGGTGCGTCTGAGCTGCTGTGCTCACATTGTCCTCAAGTCAAAGATTTTGTCTTTCCCAGCTCAAGAGTTAGACCCTTTCTGGCCTTTTCTCACATGGCAGTCCCCTTCCTCGAGTTCATGATTCCTTAGGGCTGTGATCCTAGGGCGCCTCAGACTTGGACCAAGTATTAAAGTCCTAGAAGGTGGAGCCACTCGGAGTTATCAGGAGCTCCTCAGCAGGGAGGGGTGCAGGGCAGGAGGGTAGCCAGTGGAGGAAGTGGGGGAGTCTCTTCTGGAGGATCCACAGAAATCTCTCTGACAGCAGAGGGAGGATAAGAAAGGCTGTCAGGGGGCGCCTGGGTGGCTCAGTCGGTTAAGCGTCTGCCGTTGGCTCAGGTCATGATCCCAGGATCCTGGGATCAAGCCGCACGTCGGGCTCCCTGCTTAGCAGGGAGCCCGCTTCTCCCTCTCCCTCTGCCACTCCCCCTGCTCCTCTCTCTCTTGTAAGTAAAATAAAATCTTAAAAAAAAGAGAGAGAAAAAATAGAAAGACTGTCAGGCCACATGATTCCCTGAGGTTTAGGATTCACACTGTCCCACCCCCACCCAAGGCAGAGTGTCAAGAGCGTGGTGGCGTGGCCACGTGCCCAGTGTAGCTGGAGTCGATGAAGACAGAGAATAGGTCACAGGAACTCGTGTGTGATGGTAGTATCAGATTACAGAGAATTAATGAGGAAATGGGTTAGAGAAGCACTGTAAATTGTAAAGAAAAGAGCCTTTTTTCTCTCCTTGAGTACGGAAATTGTAGTTACTTTTCTCAGATGTCAAATTTGCCCTTTATTGCTTCCCCTTGGGGACCTCTGGATTGGATTACACTTTTTACAGTACACACATTACTGAGGAAGAGAGGCAGCCCTGGGAACTCGGGGTGGGGAGCAGATGAAAAAAGTCAGAGGGAGGGCAGGGGAGCCCTCCGCATCACAGCTGGGGCACCGAGCCAGCCGTGGGGCGGATGGGGTTTGGAGTGGGTTTAGCTAGGACCTGTGCAGAGGCTCAGAGTCGGTGGAAAACCAGAGTTAGCCAGGAACAGGGAGCAGCTCCTCCCAACCACAACAGAGAGCAGAGGATGGTGATGGCAGCCTGTGGACAGGGCCCTCCCACCCCTGGAACTCCCGGGGGCCTGGAGAGCTGTATCTGGACTTCCATCCTTCTAGATGTGTCGACCAGAAGTTCCGCCGCTGCCCCCCACTGCCCAGCACCAGTGTCATCATCGTGTTTCACAACGAGGCCTGGTCCACGCTGCTACGGACCGTGTACAGTGTACTGCACACCGCCCCTGCCGTCCTGCTGAAGGAGGTCATACTGGTGGATGACGCCAGCACTGACGGTGAGGCTGGAGGGGCCCGAGCAGGGGGCCGCTGTCTCCCCTGGTCCTCCGGAAAGGAGGGCAGCATCCTTAACCTCTCTGAACCTCAGTTTCGTCTTCTAAAAATGAAGACAGTTGACTCCCTCACATGCTGGGCAAGGGGTCAGAGATGGGGGATAAAGGCCATAATTCATGCACCAGCGGAGTACTTAGCATCAAGCAGAGCTCCATAAGCATTAGTTTCAGTTTATTCCTTGTATGGGAGCAATGTGCCATGAGGGTGCGTCGCCAGGTGTTATTTCTGCGTGGTATGCCGAGGGGGGCCCGCGGTGGAGGCCGGATGGAAGCAGCGCCTTGAAGCACGCGCGTTCGGGGAGAGAAGAGGTGCTGAAGGGCATTCCCAGAGGAGAGAATGGCACAGGCAGAGTCCTAGAGACACAGGTGTGTTTGTGAACAATTGAGAGGTTTGATGTGGCTGAAGCTTAGGTGTGGTGTAGGAAATGACACTAAAAAGATGTTGAATTGACGTTGTGTGCCATGCTAAAAGTATTTATTTAGGACAAAAATGAGAGTCACTGAAGGTGTTTAAGGTGGAGAATGACCTTGTCTTAGAAGGGTGGCAGCTTTGGGGGAGGGTAGGTGTCAGGAAGAGAGGCAGAGGACTCCAACTCCGGAGAGGAAGTTCTTAGAGTCACCTGAGAGTGGGAAGATGGGCCAGAATGGGGACAGGGGCGTGGGACCGATGCATGTAATTCCAGGGAATTCGTGGACCCTACGATAAACAACCCCACCTCGAGGGCTTTCGGACTCTAGAGATGCTTTCAGCAGTGTTCAGTTCTGCAGGGGAAAGGAAAAAACTCAGATCCATGGTCAGAAATCGCCTCGGTCCACAGCAGGAGAAGATTTCCCACATTTGACCGTTTGATCAGATTAACTGGCTCTCATTATGCACACACAAACAGGGGCTGTGTCTCTGCAGAAACACAGTGTCCACGCTCTTCTGCCCTCCCCTCCTGCCGCCCGGGAGCAAAGGTAGGACCATGAGTATATGTAGGCATTTGATACTGGCCTGGGTGGGAAGAGGCCTGGTGCCAAGCTGGGGAACTTTTTTCTTTCCCACTTTGGAGTTCGAAGCCCAGGCATCGATGTCGTTCCTGCGTGGCCTGTTCAGCAGCCAGGTGCACTTCTGGTCTTGCACACTCTACAAGCTTCTCGAAACAGGCCCTCGAGGCCCATCAGTCCACCTTGCCCCCAACAGGGCATCCCTGTGTTGAAAGCCCTGCCCTGCCCCTCCGGGAGCCTGAAGGGGAGGAAACCTAGGCCACCCTCCTCTGGGGATTTGCTGGATGGATGGGAGGAAAGCAGACACACCTAGGCCCCAGATTGTCAGGAAGTGAACAGGACCCTCAGTGAGCAAGTTCATCAGGGAGAGAGGGGTGAGCAGGTGATGGTGGCCAGTGGGGCGGAGGGAGGGGGCGTGCTAGAGGAAGGGAGGGAGGCGAAGAGAAGGAAGGGCGGCCCTGAGGCGGGAAACACACTGTGAAACCTGGGGGAGGAGACATTTGAGGAGCACTTTGGATTAACTCAAGATTTCCCCCACTTCTATCTCCCCATGCTGCTCAGAATCGGAGTGGCAGGTCCTCTCATGGCCTCCTAAACTCCTAAGTAATGCAAGTTGGGAATTGTTCAAAGCCTCTGATTTTAGTCGAATTACAGCTTCCAGTGTGTATTTCAACAGGTAAAGTTGCTTTACCTCTGTACCTGTTTTATAATGTAAGAAGTCCTCTTGATAGTAACTCTGGGTCCTGGAACTCTGGATTTTCCGGGGAAGTTTCCATTTCGCTGTTTCCTTCTGTTTCTGCCCATCGAGAAATTATGTTTCCACATGTTACTTTCATCTGCCAGTCTCCTTACACCTGGAAATGGAAAGTGGCCAACAGTGAATCTTGATTTAGGTTTGAAAATTCAGCCCTGTGTCCATGTGTTCTATCTGGACCAGTGAATCGTGGAACACTCCCAAAGGGTGTCATACTTGTTTAATTCTCCTTTTATCCTTCCAAATGGATTAATCGAGAAAAATTTCCCGGGCACCTGGGTGGCTCAGTTGGTTGAGCAACTGCCTTCGGCTCAGGTCATGATCCTGGAGTCCCAGGATCGAGTCCCGCATCGGGCTCCCTGCTCAGCAGGGAGTCGGCTTCTCCCTCTGACCCTCTTCCCTCTCGTGCTCTCTCTCTCTCATTCTCTCTCTCTCAAATAAATAAATAAAATCTTTAAAAAAAAAAAAAGAAAAAAGAAAAATTTCCCAGTTGCAGTTAGATTCAAGGCTGGATAGAACACAGATGGGCATGAAAACAGAATAAAAACAAACAAAACAGGAAAAATGAGTGAGGAAATCCTGCCTACAAGAAAGGCTTTTCTGTTGTTCTTCTCTAGCCTTTTCAGAAGCCAAGGAAGAGTAGGACAGCCCCCAAGAGAGGAGTAAGCAAAGGCGGCGTTCACTGATTTGCTTAATAAGTATTTTTTTTTTTAGTTACCTACCGGGCACCACACCCTGTGCGGGCCCATAGGGCTACAGTAGTGAACAGGTTAGGCAAGGTCTCCATCTTCTTAGAGCGAACTTTTTTAATGGGAAGGACAGAAAATAAATAATTTCAGATAATAAGTGCTCTGAAGAAATTAAATTAGAGGGAAAAAAAAAAGAATGCGGGATGATGGGCTAGTGAATAATCAGGGAGCTCTTTTAACCAAGGTAGCCAGGAAAGGCTACGCTGGCTGGTCTGCTGTAAAGGGAATGGCCAGTGGAAAGGCCCTGAGGCTAGATGTGTTCCTGGAGCAGAAATAAGGCCACAGGGCTGCAGTGAGCAAAGAGACAAGAAGAACAGTGGTACAAAGTGAGTTTAAGAGATGAGCAAAACTGAATCCCAAGACTTTTGTAAGCAGTGGTCAGTGTTTAGATTTTTCCTGTGTGTGTGTGTGGTAAAATATGCATAACATAAAATTTACCATCTTAACCATTTTTAAGTGCACCCTTCAGTGGCATTTAATACCTTCATACTGTTGTGAAACCATCCATCACCAGAACTCCCTCATCTTCCCAAACTGAAAGTCTGTACCCATTAAACAATGACACCCTCATCCCTCCTTCCCCCAGCCCCTGTCAACCCCCATTCTACTTTTCTGTCTCTGTGAATTTGACTAAGTACCTCATATAAGTGGAATTATTCAGTATTTTTCCTTTCGTTTCTGGTTTATTCCCCTTTGCATCACGTCTTCAATGTCCTCCGACTCTTAATTTCAGCTCAGGTCATGATCATAGGGTTGTGGGATCAAGCCCCACATCGGGCTCCCTGCTCAGCAGGAAATCTGCTTGTCCCTCTTCCTCTGCTCCTCCCCCAACTCGTGCTCTCTCTCTCTCTCTCTCTCTAAAATAAGTAAATAAATAAAATCTTTAGATTCCACACATGAGTGAAATCATACAGTGTTTGTCTTTCTCTGACTGACTTATTTCACTTAGTGTTATACCCTCTAGGTCCATCTATGTTGTCACAAATGGCAAGATTTCATTATTTTTCATGGCTGAGCAATATTCCATTGTGTATATACACCACACCTTTATGCATTCATCAATCATTGGACGCTTAGGTTGCTTCCATACGTTGGCTATTATAAATAATGCTGCAATATACACAGGGGTGCACATACCTTTTCAAATTAGAGTTTTTGTTTTCTTCAGGTAAATACCCAGAAATGGAATTAATGGATGGTTTGGTACTTCTGTTTTCAGTTTTCTGAGGACCCTGCATACTGTTTTCCACAGTGGGCTGCCCCAACGTACATTCCCACCAACAGTGCACAGGGTTCCCTTTTCTCCTCATCCTTACCGGCACTTATTTCTTGTCTTTTTGATACTACGCATTCTGACAGGTGTGAGGTGATGTCTCATTGTGTTTTTGATTTGCATTTCCCTGATGATGAGTGATATTGAGCATCTTTTTTTCATGTGTCTGTTGGCCATCTGTGTGTCTTCTTTAGAAAATTGTCTATTCAGGTCCTCTGCCCACTTTTTAATCGGATTATTTGGGTTTTGGTGTTGAGTTGTATGAGTTTTTTATATATTTTTGATATTAGCCCTTTATTGGATATATCATTTGCAAATATCATCTCCCTTTTATTGGGTTGCCTTTTCATTTTGATGATGGTTTCCTTCTCTGTGCAAAAGCCTTGTGGTTTGTTGTAGTCCCAATTGTTTATTTTTGCTTTTGTTTCCCCTGCTTGGGGAGACGTATCCAGAAAAATATTGCTAAAGTTGATGTCCAGGAAATTACTGCCTGTTTTGTTTTTGGTTTGTTTGTTTTTTGTTTTTTTTTTTAAGGAATTTTATGGTTTCAGGTCTTACATTTGGGCCTTTAGCCCATTTTGATTTTGTTCTTATGTATGGTGTAAGAAAGTGGTCCAGTTTCAGGGGATCTGGGTGGCTCAGTCATTAAGCGTCTGCCTTCAGCTCAGGTCATGATCCCAGGGTCCTGGGATCGAGCCCCGCATCAGGCTCCCTGCTCAGCGGGAAGCCTGCTTCTCCCTCTCCCACTCCCCCTGCTTGTGTTCCCTCTCTCGCTCTGTCTCTCTCTGTCAAATAAATAAATAAAATCTTTAAAGAAAGAAAGAAAGAAAAGAAAGAGGTCCAGTTTCATCCTTTTGCATGTAGCTGCCCAGTTTTCCCAACACCATTTATTGAAGAGACTATATTTTTTTCTGCATTGTATATTTTGCCTCCTTTGTCACAGATTGACCATATAAGCATGGATTTATTTCTGGACTGTATTCTGTTCCATTGATCTATGTGTCTGTTTTTGTGCTTTGAACACTATAACTCGCAGTTTGAAATCTGGAATTTTGATATCTCTATCTTTGTTATTCTTTCTCAAGCTTGGTTTGGCTATTTAGGATCTTTTGTGGTTCCATGCAAATTTTAGAATTATTTGTTCTAGTGCTGTGAAAAGTGCTATGGTATTTTGATAGGGACTGCACTGAATCTGTAGATTGCTTTGGGTAATAAGGACATTTTAACAATATTAATTCTTCCAATCCAAAGCGTGGTATATCTTTCCATTTAATTGTGTCATCTGTGATTTCTTTCAACAATGTCTTTTAGTTTTCAGGTCTTTCACCTCTTTGGTTAAATTTATTCCTAGATGTTTTATTCTTTTTTTTTTAAAGATTTTATTTATTTATTTGTTTGTTTGAGAGACGGAGAGAGCATGAGCGTCAGTACTGGCTGATGGACTGATTGTGGTGGGTGAGAAAAGGGAAGAGTCCAGCATGACCCCCAGGTTAAAGCAGCGGGAGGATGCTGGTACCACATCCTGACACGGGGAGACGAGAGGGGGCAGGTTGGCAGGCAGTCTGGACCCATGTTGGGCGTGTTGGGTTTGTGGTTCTGTTAGACACCCAAGTACAGATGGCAAGGCCAGGAGAAAAGACCTAGGAGCCACCTGCGTATAGATGCTATTTCAAACCATGGGACTGAATAATGCGTTTGTGTTCGAGGTCACAGGAGCCTCATAGACTCCAGTCATGAGGAATGGAGCTGGGCTGGGGTGGTGGGTTGTTGAACCGGAATTAGGAGGTGAACATCTGGGGGGTATAAGAAAGTATGGATGGGCTCACCTGTGTCTCCACACTCAGCTCTGCTACACGCATCTCTGGAGCAGATGTCCAGTGGGTCCAGGGCTGGGGTCCGTGCTCAGAATCCCCAGGTCCAGCCTAACCACCTGAGACTGGAAAAAAGGCATTGGAGAAGGGCTTTGTAGAGCTTAGCACCCCCTGGGGTTCACAGCTCAGCGCTTCTCAGTCTCTTACCACAAAACCCACTTCCTATGATGCTTTGTCCTTGGGTTATCTCCACCACCATGTACTTCCTCTGAGCACAGTTAAGCGAGTTCTCAGGGGAAACATCAGCCATGCTGAGAAGGTGAGGCTCCTGGTTGGCATTCCTCCTGTTTCCTGTTAGAGCCAGCACTTGGGGCTATAGTTGGATTATGAGTCCAGGAGCTTCTTGAGGGCAAGACCCAGACCCGGCCCGTCCCTGCCCTGGATAATGTCTGGGCAGTATGTTAGCACGTGCTTGCGGAGTGCTGGACTGCAGCTGCCACATGAGGCCAATTTTGACTCCTAAACATCAGGGACAATACCCAGATTTCAGACCATTTTAATCTTCATAGAAAAGATTAAGTAAGAAAGTCAGCATGTAAGCACCCAGTTCAATGGTGGGCACATGGCAGGTGCTCAAGTATTTGGGCATAGTGTGGAGGGGGGGGAGGGAAGGAGAGAAATCAATCACACAGAAAATTAATTGATTTCAGGCCCCACAGTTGTATAACACTGCATTTGAAGCAAGGCCTAAGCACTGGGCTGATCCCACAGCCCCAGACAGAAAGCTGAAACTCTAGGCCACTCTATTCTACACAGTCGGGAACAGAACCATGGCACAGATAAACCATATAGTAGTGAATAAACCATAGTGAATAACCCATAAGTAAGATTCAGAATGTGTTTCAAGATGGATTGTTTCAGAAGAGAGCTATTTTTTTTAAAGATTTTATTTATCTGACAGAGAGAGAGATAGTGAGAGCAGGAACACAAGCAGGGGGAGTGGGAGAGGGAGAAGCAGGCTTCTCGCAGAGCAGGGAGCCCAATGCGGGGCTCGATCCCACGACCCTGGGATCATGACCTGAGCTGAAGGCAGACGCTTAATGATTGAGCCACCCAGGCGCCCCAGAAGAGAGCTATTTTTAAAGCCCTGAAGATTTCAGAATGAAGAGCAGGGTCATGAAGTAAGCCCCCTGCTCTGAAGGAGCTGGAGATCCCCCAACCCTCAGATTCAGGATGGTTGTGCCCACTGCAGGCTCCCCCAGCCCTGCACGACCTCTGGGGGTGGGTCACTGATCACCTACCTGCAATCGTCACTTCCCTGGGCAGCAGGCTCACCCCCTGCACCCGGCACAGGGCCGACACTTGGTACATTTTTTTTTTAATTTAATTAAAACGCTGCTCAGTATCTTTTCATCTTCTTAAAGATTTCTCCATGCAGAGGAGTTAATAAAGAGGATTAGAGTATGGCTTCTTGCTGCTGACCCAGCAAGCCAGAAACCAGCATTTATGTGTGCTCTACCTGTCCGCTCACTCAGAAGACCCTGGGAGACAGGGAGCCATAGATACTGAGAAAGGACTGCCACAACCCCTGGGTGTGGAAAAGAGAGGAGGCTGGAATCACAGTTCTGAAAGATGGTGGCTGAGAAGATGCAGAGACCCAGGGGCAGCTGAGAGCCTTTGGCAGATGTTTATACTTGATTTGAGACCAAAGAAACACAACTTTGAGGTCCTGGCTCAGAGAGGAGAGGAGGTTCCTAGGTAAACAGGCCCAGGATTGGCCCACAAAGCCAGGCTCCTGGCACGGAGGGCTTGGGGTGGCACGGGGTGCTGGCCACACCCAGGGCTTCCTGCTTCCACCTTCTCCCGACCTTTGGTGCCCATGGAATTGCCTCGTTCAGCAGGTGCTCGGGCCGGCGGGAGGCCCGAGAGAGCACCCAGCCTGGCGCTCACGGTGGGGGTGAGGTGTGCCACCCAGTGGTGAGCCGGCACCAAGGACACTGTCCCTTCCAGACTACTTAAAGGAGCAACTGGAGCAGTACGTGAAGAAGCTGCAGGTCGTGAGGGTGGTGCGGCAGGAGGAGCGAAAGGGCTTGATCACCGCCCGGCTGCTGGGGGCCAGCGTGGCCCAGGCGGAGGTGCTCACCTTCCTGGATGCCCACTGTGAGTACAAGGGGACCAGCGTGGCACCCAGGAGGCCCGAGGGTGATCCGAGCCCCTGCCCCGCCCTCCGGCGGAACAGAGAGCCAGGGCATCACCAAGGCCCCTGCTGCTCTGGGATTAAAGGTGGCTTGGGACCCACTTTAGCTAGCTTCTCGTGCCCTCTTCTCAGTCTCAATCCCAAGGATGTGCTCTGGAGCCCCAGACTCCCCTCTGTCTTCCTTGCTTCCTCTGTACCTCATTCTGAGCTCAGCCCCTCAAAGAGGCTTCCTGTCACCCCTGGGAGCTAGTTTGTATGGAGCTTTCCCATAGGGCCACATGGAGCCAAAAAGGCCTCCTCTTTGCCCCAAACCCAAACACCTCCCCACCATTGTCTGGAAAGAAATTGTTCCCTGAAAGCAGTGATATGTATTAGGGAAAGCTCTAGACTCGGAGTCAGGAGACCTGGGTTTGCCTTCTGGCTCTGCCAGTAACTGAGCCTCAGTTTCCCCATTTGTAAAGTGGGAATGAGGATACCAACCTTACTTACCAACAGAATTACTACTCCAAGGGCCAAATAAAGTAATCTATACAGTTCACTGAAAATCTCAAAGGGCTAGTCTAGCGAAAGGGATTATTATTCCACAACTGGAGCTAAAGCTTGAGGTGCAGTCTCCCTGGAAAAGGGGATACCCCCTTCTGAAGTCCACACTTGGGTGGGGAGGGCTGATTCAGTGGATAGGCTAGAAACCCTGAAAGGTCACCCATCCGGGTTCTTCCCTGTGCTTTGGATCCTTTGAGTTGACCATTGGAGTTACTCCCCTGAGACTTCCATTCTTCCCTTCAAAGTCACCTCCACCTTTTGGCTGGGTGAGCAGGGTGGGTAAGAGGGTCTCAGGAGATCTCTCTATGCATTCTACAACTGTGGCGCTGGTCTGTATTTCTCTAACACTAGGGAGTGTGGGGAAGGTTCTCTTGTCCTCCTGAGTCTCCCTGTTGGTGTGGGGCCTGGGCTCAGCTGTGGCACGACCCTGACTGCTGTCTCCTGGTCCCGGCCTGTAGGTGAGTGCTTCCATGGCTGGCTGGAGCCCCTCCTGGCTCGCATTGCTGAGGAAGAGACGGCGGTGGTGAGCCCAGACATCGTCACCATCGACCTGAACACTTTTGAGTTCTCCAAGCCCGTCCAGAGGGGCAGAGTCCACAGCCGTGGCAACTTTGACTGGAGCCTGACCTTTGGCTGGGAGACTCTCCCCGCCCATGAGAAGCAGAGGCGCAAGGATGAGACCTACCCCATCAAGTAAGGACCATAGCCTGCTGAGCCCCATGCTGGCTTCCAGGGACCCAGGCCATCTTAGGTCCACATTTATCAGGCACGCCATGAAACACATAATACAGTTTTGTTACTCTTCATCCCCTCCGAGGCGGATGCTAGGATTAGCCTGTTTTACAGGGGAGAACACAGCCTCCTAGGGATGAGCAGTCGGCCTCAGATGATGTGGCTAGCATCTGGTGGAAGAAGGATCCAAAGCTCACGCCCCTCACCGCAGCCCTGCACACCCCCCACTATGACCGACTGCTCTCCTTCACCACTTACTGTGTGCCAGGCGCTGACTGAGGGCTTTGTGTAGTTTGTCTTTTTATTCCTCCCCACGCATGGAAGACCGTGACAGGTGTGTGCAGAGGTGCCAAGAGACGGAGGGTAGAGTCCACTGTTAAATCGCCCTTGTAATAGGGGCCCTTGCACCCCCAGGTCAGTGTCTTTGAAAGGACTGAAAATATATTGAAGCAAACTAGACATGTGTTCTGCTGTTCGCAGTTTGTTACAGGTACCCTGAACTTCTCCGGTAGAGGGCCAGACGGCAGGTCGTTTGGGTTCTGCCGGCTACATACAGTCTGCTGTATATTCTTCCTTGTTAGTTTGTTTTGTTTTAACCATCGTTTGAAAGTGTAAAAATCATTCTTTGCCCAGCACCTTATGAAGTCAGGCCAGCTTTGGGCCGTAGGCCTTAGTGGGCCCACCCCTGAGCTAAAGGGTAGATACTGGAAAGTTTACCCACTGTTTAATGCCCAGCTGGGTCAGCCCCTCGTTCACCCACCCTGTCCTTCCCTCTCCAGATTGCCCATTGGCACCGTCAGAAACCACAAGCTTATTTTATTTTATTCATTTTTTAAGTAGGCTCCGCACCCAACACGGGGTTTGAATTCATGACCCAGAGACCAAGGGTCACGTGCTCTGCTGACTGAGCCAGCCAAGCACCCCCACAAGTTTATTTTAACAGATGTCTCAGCCAACCTGAGTTGGGGAGTGACTTTTAGAGAATCATGTGGTTTTGGATGGTCTGTGCCATTGTTTTTCCATACTGGCCAGGAAACTTAACTGAATATGCATCAGGGATGGAGGCAGCAGAGGTTGGGGATCCAGTGAGCAGAGAGGTAGGAGGGAACCCTAAGAAATGCCACCCAGAGCCTCAGTAGAGTGGACCCTGTGGGTGCCACAGGGAGGAATCCCATGGATGCTGAACAGCCAGCTTGCTCTGTCTCCATTAAAAGGAGGAAAAGGAGCAACTGAAGAGGGAAAAAAGAAAAGAGAAGACAGGAGAGAGAAAAGAGACTGGAAGTCCCTGTTGACCCTCTGTTTGTTTCATAGATGTCTTTTGTTTGGTGTGCACAGCAACAAAGCCCCCCTCCCCCAAACTGGGGGCCAGGCACACAGTGGCACAGTCAGGGACAGGGCACCTGGCCCCTGCCCATCACTGCTGTCCCCTGCTCCAATGTGCGAGGACCATGCAACTAGAAGACAAAGCTCCAGTCTTTGAGGAATGGATTTGCTCCCTGGTATAAGCGCCCTGGCCATATGCATGGCTTCTCCCAGGCATTTTGCATGGTACCCCACCAGGAGGCCTGGGGGGAGTACCCTCCCATCCTCCACTCTCAAAGCTAGCAGGTGCCTAAGAGGAGAGGTAAAGGACCCAGGAAGTACGGGGTGTTGCCTGAGGTGCACTGGGTGTGGGTCTGCAGTGAAGTCCCCAGGTAGGGTTTATCCTCAGAGGTAATTTGTCAGCGCCTTCTTGGTCAGAGAGACCTCTCAAGGCCAAGAAATAGGCCCAGATCAGGGAGACCCTCAAGAAGAAGCAGATTAGCTCCAAAGTGCTCATCTGGAGTCCCAGGGCTCTCTGAGCCTTTCCAGGACTTATTTGGGGGGTGGGGGGCGCTTAGAATGCCTGGGAGAGGCCAGAACCAGGGACAGAAAGCCTGCCTGAGCATGAGAGTCTTCTGAGTGAAATTCCTTCCAGAAAGTGGCTCTGGGAGCCAACTACTTCAGAGCGACAAACGCAGCCACAGGGTAATGCCAGGGTCAGGCTCCTTGACCAATCAGTCCGGTGAACACTGACTGAGCCCTTGCCGTGTGTAAAGCACCTTGACAGGTTCTGGATTTACAGAGGTTTCAGTCTCTGCTTGAGTGTAGCACCCAGAGCCACCCACTGAGGGCAGCAAAGCCCTATCCAAGCCAGGCTGGCCAGGGCGCAGACGCCAACAGCTAATGATTCTGTCTAGGCTCTTGCCACTGTCTTCCTCAGGCTCCAACCCCGCCCTCAACCCTTAGCCCAGGCTCTCTTATGAGCAACGGGGTATGTGAATTCTAGGAATGAGACTTCTTTTTGCCAATTTCGCTTACAGTGGATCTGCGCCTCCCTGCCTTTGTCTGAAAGCCAGAAGCTCCTTGGAACATCCCAATGCTCCCATTAGTCCAAATTGAACTGAATTTCACCTCACTTCCTCCTCTGTTTCCAGGAGCACCCCTTCCTCAGTTTCCTCCACTCAAAGCAGCCAGCGGCTTTCCCCAAAACTAAAATTTCTCCTGCAGCAGGACTAGGCCCTCCTAACACCATGGCTCTCTAGTCCCTGACGAGGACCAGGGATTCTGAAATAGAATGGGGTCCACCCAGGTCATAATATTCATCCATTCATTCATGGTTTGAATCCCCTTTCTGAAGACGGATTCACACAGTTTCTGATAACTGAGTATCTGCAATGCTCTAGGAACTTTGCTGCCAAAAAGCAAACGACGGCGCCTCTCCCGTCGGCGGCTAGACTGAGCTCTTGGCCAACGAGAGCTTTCTCGGCTGCGTGACTAACGGGCAGCATGGGTCCTGGTGGCCCGTGTTTGACATTTCCTGCCTGGAACGAACAAACGAGTGCCTTTTCGGAGAGAGCGATGGTAATGACATCTCTCCTCGACCTGGTCCCGGAAGGCGGGAAGAACACAATAAAGCTCCGTCCATGTTTGCTGAGTGCATAAGTTAGTGGAAGAGGGAAAGAAGAAAGGAGGCCGGGGGCAGGGGGTAACGGAGGTGGTGGGCGGTAGCCTAGCACCAAGTCCACAGCTTTGCACACCAGCTTCTGCTCGTCTTCCCCCCCTCCAGAGATGCACATGCTTCTCCCTCTGTCTTTCCAGATCCCCGACGTTTGCCGGCGGCCTCTTCTCCATCTCCAAGTCCTACTTTGAGCACATCGGTACCTATGATAATCAGATGGAGATCTGGGGAGGGGAGAACGTGGAAATGTCCTTTCGGGTGAGAGTGAAGAGGGCTTCGTGGGGGGAGCCGCCGCGGCCCAGGGGACAGACTGAGCCCCTGTCTCTCAGGCCGTGGCAGCCTCAGGGATATTACAGCTGGAACTGGACTTAAAGGGTGTTGGTTTCCCGTCCTGGAGGCACCTCTCCTCTGCTCCCCCCACCCCCGTCCGTGGCAGGAGGGCTTTGAGAATCAGATTGGACAACTCGGAACAAATTCCGGGGCAGAACTCCTCAGAGGGACGGGATTATAGTGGTAAAGGAACCAGACATCTGGGGCCCGGTGACATGTTTCGTGAGGTCTGTGGGAAGAGTGTTAGGGTGAAGGCAGAGCAGGTCAGTTGGCAGTCACTGTCCTTTCTCAGGAAAAGTCGGGTTTCCCCTTGCAAGTTAGAGGACACAGGCCCTGGTGGCCTTTGAAGTTTTCCTACCCTCTGCTCAGCAAGCCCTGCATCACTGAAGATGGTGGCCCAAACTCTGGTGGACCCCCACAACTCTGAGGGATTCCGGCAATAAGGCAAATCAGGATTAGGTTAGGAAGAAAGAATTTCCTTTCCATGAAGTCCGCACAAATCCCCACGCTAAGGGGAGAGGTCATTAGCAAGTGGATGAGCTCGTGTGTGAAGTCACCTCTCACAGTGCCTAGCACATATTAAGCATGTCCATTGATGCCTCTGTTACTATGACTATGATTGCGTATTTCTGTTGCTACTCTACTAAAATGAAGAACAACATCTACTAATATAAAACCTGAAAAAGAAAGGACCCAGGTGGGAGGGATGTTTTAAACCGGCCCACTAGCACAGAGAAGGGTCACCAGGTAGAGTCCCCGTAACTCCCAGGCTTCTGATTCTGGGCTCATCCATGAGCCTCTGACCTCCGTTCAGTCTCTCTCCCTGGAAGCTAATGTGCTAAAGGTTCAGGTGACTACCCCAGCCCACCTGGAAATTGACTATCCTTGCTATAACTGATGCACCAGTGCTCCAGTTGGATCACAAGTGTATCTTGATTTGAGGGAGCTTGAGTTCCCAGTAACACCTGGGTGAGTTGATAAAATCACATTTCCAGGTCAACAAGCCAAGTGACTGGAGCTCGGTGTAGGTATACAGACACAAAGTTAGCCAACTGTCTTTTCTCTAAAGTGGGCCCTGACAACCCTCAGGACCCTGCAAATCTCCATTTGCATAAATCAGAGTTGAACTAACATCATAGAGCTAGGGATTGCATAGTCATGGCCTAGGAAGAATCCTGGTCCATGTCCTTTTTTCTAGGAGAGAGAGCAGCATTTCCCTGAGTTCTTAGACCTGGGACCCTAGCGCCCTGGCACTAGAACAGAGCTGCTGGGGAGGGGGGGATGACAGTGACCGACGACCTCCCTGAAGGCCCTATCTTGTGTCCTCTTATGGCAGGTGTGGCAATGTGGGGGCCAGCTGGAGATCATCCCCTGCTCTGTGGTAGGCCACGTGTTCCGTACCAAGAGCCCTCACACCTTCCCCAAGGGTATCAGTGTCATTGCTCGCAACCAAGTGCGCCTGGCTGAGGTCTGGATGGATGGCTACAAGGAGATTTTCTATCGGAGAAATATGCAGGCAGCGAAGATGGCCCAAGAGGTGAGAGGAAATGGCACTCGGGAGGGGTTTGGGTGAAGAGAAGGGCAGCATCCCATACCCTAGTCAAGGGCTTAATGGTAGAGGCCCACCCACCTCTGCCCCCTGGTGCCTCCCTTTACCCCCCAGACCCCGTGAGCTGGAGCCCAGGGAGGTCAAGAGTTTGAAGGCTGGTGGTGAGGAGAGAAGCTTTTGTTGTCCCCGCCTGGGGAGTCCTGGCATGTTCTAGGAGGGGAGGGAGAATGGACTTGGAGAACCTCGTACAGGGCTTTGCTCTGAGAGGCTCAGAATTGAGGTCTGGGAGAAAACTGACAGGGAAATCACAGGGGATGCAGGAGGGAGGAGGCTATGGGTGGGGGTCCCAAAGCCAAAGCAGGGGTAGGAGGGTGGTTAAATGTGGGGCTAAGCCAGTAGCCCCAACAGGTTCTGAGCAGAAGACCCATTCTTGGAGAAAGTGGCCCCAGAAACTCTGGGCTACTTCAACCGTACGAACAGGTTAAGACCAGTGGGACTGACCTCTTGGGGGCTGGCTTGGTTGACAGAAATCCTTCGGGGACGTTTCGGAACGACTAAAGCTGAGGGAACAACTACACTGTCACAACTTTTCCTGGTTCCTGAACAACATCTACCCAGAGATGTTTGTTCCCGACCTGAAGCCCACCTTCTATGGAGCTGTAAGTCTCACAAGCCAGCTCGCCCCCCCATCGTCACAAGAACCCCCCAGAGGAGCTCAGAACCGCTTACCCCACCCAGGGATGGCAAACAAGAGTCGATTTTTACTCTCTCCACTCCTTTATCCAAAGGAGGACTGAAAGGCCCCTGTGGGGCTTCTAGAGACAACCAAAACCTTGTAAGGGGGAAACAGCCCACAAGCAGTGGTTCTCATTCACCTGCATCAGAATCACCTGGAAGGCGTGTTAAAACACAGATTGCTGATTCGGTCGGAATGGAACAGGGCCTGAGAATTTGCATTTCTAACAAGTCCTCAGGTGAGGCCAGCGGTCTGGGGATCACACATGGAGAATCATTGATCATGAGGAAATTCCTGTGTGCTGAGGGCTTTTCCCAGAGACCTGGCAGCCTGGGAGGGTCCCCAGCCTGCCTGTGCCCAGCCTCTGGGCTCAGCACCTCACTCTGCTGTTATGTCCAGGCGTCTGGGTTAATGAGCAGAGGAGAAAGCCAGCCATGCAGATTTATCCCAGTCGAGCCGCACCCCCCAAACCACACCACTCCTAACTGTGTCATCCTGCTTCCCCTCTCTGCTCACCATTCTGCAGATCCGGAACCTCGGCACCAATCAGTGTCTGGATGTGGGTGAGAACAACCACGGGGGGAAGCCCCTCATCATGTACACCTGCCACGGCCTGGGTGGCAACCAGGTACCCAGCCCCACCATACCGGTCAGGCGCCAGAGAAGCCTGCTTCTGGGACAACTCCTCTCTTCACAGCCTCTTTCTCCACTCAGTATAGACCTTTCCCAGGGCGCCTGGGCGGCTCAGTTGCTTAAGCGTCCAACTCTTGGTTTCGGCTCAGGTCGTGATCTCAGGGCCATGGAATTGAGCCCCGCATCGGGCTCTGCCGGGAGTCTGCTTGGGATTCTCTCTCTCCCTCTGCCCCTCGCCCTGCTCGCACTCTCTCTCTCTCTCTCTCTCTCTCTCTCTAAATAAATTTTTAAAATCTTTAAAAAAAAGTCCTTTCCTGAGGACTAGGGTCAGGAGATCCAGGGAGAGGAAGAGAGAGCACCCCTGCCCTCAGAAAGCTCCCAGTCTGAGGGAGAATACGTGGCACAGACAGACAAGGTCTGGTGTGAAGTAGGCACCTCTGGGGGGCACTGGCCATCAGTGGCAGGGGCTAGGGAGGGGGCAGGAGGAGGTTACCGTTAATCAGGAAGGCTTCCTAGAGGGGGCCAGCTGCCGAATGAGGTTTTAGAGTAACTTTGGAAACTTTTTGAGCACTTGCTCTCACCCACACCCAGCTTCACCGCCTCCCCTGCCCAGAAGCCACTGCGCTGACTCTGTCACCAGGAGTGACCCCAAAACAACCATCTACTGACATGTCACAGTTACAGTTATGCTGGGAATGTGCCCCATGCTTTACGGTGCCTCAGCTGTTCCCTGAGGACTAACTAGTGACCTCCCTGACCCCAGTCCCTAAGCCTGCCCTGAATGCCCAGCATTTGGTAAGGAAGGGGCACTTGACACAGAGCTGAAGCAAGGAAGGGAGTGGCGTGGGACACTGGACAGGCTGCCAACCTGTGCAATCAAGACAAAGGCATTATCAAGCCATGTCCTCTGCCACTGGCCCACACGATGATTTTAGGCGGTACATTGGTGAACATTTTTTGTTCTAAACAAACTAGCATATCAAGCTCATGATTTCATAGATAATGCATAGAATGAAGCTAAGTTAAATTTTGAATGATTTTCAGGAAAAAAATACTGGGGCACCTGGGTGGCGCAGTCAGTTAAGCATCTGCCTTCGGCTCAGGTCATGATCCCGGGGTCCTGGGATCGAGCCCTGTGACGGGACGGGGGGCGGCCACTGCTCAGCGGGGAGCCTGCCTCTGCCGCTCCCCCTGCTTGTGCTCTCTCTCTCTCTGTGTCAAATAAGTAAAATCTTTAAAAAAAAAATACATATTAAGTAACTATTATTCCAGTAAAACCTAGATACAGTAAGAATCCTGAAGGTAGTACATGACTTACTGAGGTCTTGGCGCCCCCTCCCTCGCTCCCCCAGAAGGTCAACTCTGGTTGGAATCTTAGGGCAGTTGGTTCTGGAAGGCAGTGGGCAAACTCTCCACCTCCTCTTGCCTTGACTTCTAGTACTTTGAGTACACAACCCAGCGGGACCTTCGCCACAACATCGCAAAGCAGCTGTGTCTACATGCCAGTGCTGGCACTCTGGGCCTGAGGAACTGTCACTTCACTGGCAAAAACAGCCAAGTCCCCAAGGATGAGGAATGGGAATTGACCCAGGTGAGTCAGCTGCCCAGAGAGCTCAGAATCCAGAACCTGCGGCCACAGCCTCCCCCCTCCTCCTCCTTTTCTGCCTCTTTGGCCATGTGGCAGATGAAGACAATGTAGAAAGTATGGAGAAAGTGGGCTTGGTCCCGGGCAGGGTTCTCGGGGCCTAAGTAATGTCTGGTGAGGTCTGGCTCTGGCTGATACAAAGTTGAGGTAGGCAGTTACGGTCCACAGCCATTGCTGTCATGGCTCAAGTATTTTCAGGCTGAACCCAAGTAGATGAAGGTGAAGATTCACCCATGGTTCCTGCCTGCCCTGTTGTGTGCCAGGTGCAAATCTTGTACTCATATACATTGAGTGTGGTTAATCTTTCAGAGGCTTTTCCCAGGGAGGGAGTGCCCCCATGGGTAGAGATGAGCCAGCGAAAGTTCAGCAAGTTTGTGACTGGCCCAAGCCCCATCACTAGTAAATGGCAGACCTGGAATTCAGACCTAGATCATTCTGACTTAAAAGCCTGGGTTCTTTCTAGTATACCACACTGCCTCAGGATATAGAATGTAACTTCTATAATACTGGACTCAAACTAGCACTACCCATGGGCCTCCACACCCCGCCCTACCCCAATCTTCAAGGAAGATCTGGGCCATAAGGAAGGGAAGAGTGTAAATATGACCAAAGACAGAAAGTGGGCGTGTGCAGCAGGGGCCTTTGAGTCTGGCCATCCAGAGGAGGGGTCCCTGAAAGCATTAGCCCCATGGTCCTGCCTTCCTCTGTTCTAGCTGCTCAGGCTAAAGCCAGAAGTGGGAAATTGACAGTGGACCCACAGGTGGAAACTCAGGAATGCATCCTATCAGGATATTTGGCATCCAAAGAAAGAAATTTAGAAGTGTCCTCTTTGTGCCTTGTTGTATTGCCTTTGCTTTTTACTTCTCGTTGCCCCCTCGTAGCACCGTTAGAGATCTGAAGCCCAGGTTGACCTTTTACTGTGTCATCTTTTAGGACCGGCTAATCAGGAACTCGGGATCTGGTACCTGCCTGACATCTGAGGACGAAAAGCCAGCCATGGCCTCCTGCAATCCCAGTGATTCCCACCAGCATTGGCTCTTCAGCTAAGCCTCGATCACCCCCATGGGAGTTCCCAAGGGGAACCAAGCCTCTCAGGAAATAGGATTTTGGGGAACTTGATATTTGAGAACCTGATTATCAGCTTCTCTATAGGCCTTAAAGATGGATTTCTAAACCCAGTGGATATCAAAGCAGGATCTTACTACTTTTGCAACACAGGGCCCATTTTCCTTCCTCCATGCTGATGAAAGAGACCATTGGAACATATGACACTTGGCCTAGAGCTTGCCTCCTGTCCTTGAAACAGACTTCCAAGCAGAGAAGGCTGCCTGGGTAGGGCCCAAGGCAGCAATGCTGAATTCAAGAAAAGTCCTTGTGCAGCCACGTCCTGAGTCCCGGGTCGTGTGGAGCACCCACAGAACTAGTGAGGTAGTACCTTCGAACAGAGAGACTAGAGGTCTACAGGAGTCTCCTTGACAATATTGCCCCAAGTTTCTAGAGCCAATTAGTTTATAGAAAGCACCCCGACAGAAATCCTTTATCTTCTTTCGTCTGCACAGTAACCCTGTGAGAAAGGCCGGGAACCACCAGGCCCATTTTACAGGTAAGAAAGCAGAGGCAGAGAGAGAGAAAGGGGCTTGTCTGTAGTCCCACAGCTAGTGGATGGCGGGAGCCAAGACAGACTTGATTTCGAATGCTGAGCCAGAGCTCCTTCCACCACACCACAAGAACACTAGACACCTCGCCATCAGCCTTCACATTCTCTCTTCCCTCTGTGCTGATCACTTCTGGCTGGCTGGCCTCCGTAGAGCCTAGAACAGCGGTGCCAGGTAGCCATGAGGGAGACCACAGTTGGGGATCCTGGGATGTTAGTGCTGAAAGCAAGCTCATGCAGCCGGTGAGTCTCAGGTCTCAGTCCCAGAAGCCTTTTTCCAATGCCCCATATATAACATAGATGAAAAGCCAACTGGCAGTGGGCGAAGTTGAGGGCAGGTGAGGACAATGCCCAATGGCCCCTGAACTTCTAAAGGTCTGTGAGCACCATTCGGAACTGTTCTTTCAGCCCAACGCTATCGTTTTCGTGTAACCTGAGGCCAGGTAACTAATTTGTCCAACACCACACGGCAAGGTATTGGCAACTGGAGACCAGAACCCGGATGAGACTATCAAGAGCCCTGGGCAGTCTGGGGAAGCGGGGACCGTGTGGAGAATGGAGCATGACTGCAGAAATGGCCTCATCTGCTGTACCCGCATGCAGTTCCCGCGTGGAGCAGACCCGACACGCATGTCAGCTCTTCTCCAAGCAAGTTGGACCTCACCACGCCTGGCCACTTTGCCTGAAAGAGAGAGCCCAGCTTCCTAGAGGAGGAGTCACATTCCTTCCGGAAGGGCTTCTGACTTTTGGTAGCAGGCTGTCATCTCGGGCATCACCACATGAGGGCGCGCTGGGACCACAGCCGCCTCTCCCTGCACAACTCCACACTGCAGGAGGTCTCCTAAATTCCTTGAGCTTTCACGACCCTGTAGGGGAAACATTCCGAGGTAGCCCAGCCAGAGGGAGAGGAGAGAGTGGCCAGGATATGGCTAGGGGTGGGGAAAGGAAAAATTCTTTGCTGGAAAGAGAATTGGACTTGAGATCCCAATGAAAATAAAGGTCTTATGGCATTGGTAAAGGAGACTTGCCTTTGGTTCCTCCCACCTCAACACTGTCCCTTAGCTGATCCTTGGGCAAATCCGTTGATTTGGGCTGTGGAGAGCCACACGCATCTGAAAAGTTCTGTCACATCATTGCCTCTTGTCCCCAGACGTCCTCTGGCCCCCGATCTAGCCCACATACTGTACGTCAAGCCGACGTAGACATGAGGAGATGTAAGATGAGACTCTTGCCCCATGGAACTCACTCTTGCTAGGGAAGCAGAAGGAAGCAAGTCAGGACAAGCCTGGAGGTGTTCAGAGCTGTGCTAGGTGACGTGCAAAGAACGATTCCTTCCATCTAGGGAAATCGGGGAAGGCCTCACAAAGATGGTAACATTTGATCTTTGGCCTCAAGGATGAGTCCTGAGGGGGCATCTCACACTAGCACCGATCTAGAGTGAGAAAAGTCAGAACAAAGCTACAAGTGGCTCTGCGAAGCCAAGGGGACATCGGGGCGAAGGAGCAGTGGATGCAGAAGCTGGAGGGCTGGGGCCACATTATGACTTTCATGGGACCTAGGCCCTTTTGTCTTCAGGAAAAATTCCTTAAATTATGTTTTACAACTGCATTGGTATAAAGATGAATATTGGCTGATGGTATTCATTATATTTCTTCTGATTTTTAAAGAAACTAAAACTGTGGGGCCCCTGTGGAACAGTGGGTTGGGGCCCAGCTGAGAAGGCTTTGAAGGCCATGCTAATGTGGGTAAGCCAGAGGGAGCCATAGTTCCTGACTCTAGTCCGAGCCCTGTTCTTGGGTGCACTAAACATCCAAATGTTCCTCGGGTGTTGATTGTTGGCCACTTATCCCGACATCCCTCCTCCTGTCTATGGCGTCACTCAGCAGCTCTCCAGCCCAATCTTAGGATATATGCCCAACCAAGGTGCCATGTTGTGGTGCCCAGTTTCCCCACCCCCTACACAAAAACAGCATAACGTCTCCTGGGGGCAGTCGGCTAAGGGTGACTCACAGGGAGTGAGAGGTGCAGCAGAAGAGAGAAAACCCCATACCACACCTAGAGAGTAGGTCCAGATTTGGGGGTGAAGAGAGGACTAGGGAAGGTAGGTGGTCAGGAAGAGGGAGAAGGTACTGCTGGGGTGGTATAAGGCTTCATGGCCTCCCCTTAGCTGAGGGAGAAGGTACTGCTGGGGTGGTATAAGGCTTCATGGCCTCCCCTTAGCTGAGGCTGGTCTCACTCACCCTAACCCAATATCTACACTATTGCTTAAATTTCACCCCTCTGACCATTCTCAGAATTAACCTAAAACCTGAAAACCTTGCCTACATCGCGCTTAAAACCTCGACACTACCCCTTTGCTACTATCTCCTGGCTCCAGAAGCCTCTCATCTTGGAGAGGTGAATGGCTGGTCCCTCCTAGGGATCTACTTCCCACCAGAAGAGGATTGGCGCCCTTGCCCAAAATAGCTAATATCCCAGAAGATATTCTTATTTTTAATTACAAAAGTAATGCTGTAGAGAAGCCAAATAATACAGAACGATATGAATTTGAAAAGTGAAGTCGATCCTCACAATGCCTCCATGCCCATTGATTCATTCTCTAGAAGTAATAACTTCTGTGTAGAAACGCTTCCATCCCCTTTTTCTATGAATATACAAGTAGACACATACCCAGGACCATATTATCTGCGATTTGATGTCTTCATTTAATATCTCAAGGACATCTTTTCCTCTCAGTTCATTTAAGTCTCACTCATTCTTTTTAAAAGCTGGAGAGTAGTCCATAATATGGTTAAACCCAATTTCTTTAGCCTTTCCCTGCTGATGAATACTTGGGTTTTCCCCAAATTTTGCGGCAACTTGGTGACAAACTGCATAACCCACATCCTCGTACATTTATTTTTGTGCCTGTGTTTATTTCAAAAGGATGCATTCCTAGATTTAGAATTGCTGAGTCAGAAGAAACGCAGTGCTTCGAAATGTAAACCCAAACCACTGTCTACGTCTAACCCTAAGAGTGAGAATAGAAGAGTCAGACCAACAGGGGAGACGAGGCTGGTATTTATGCAAATACGGATTGGGCTCCTCTGAGCTAGGCCAAGGGTGCGGAGGTGGATGGGACATTGGCCCTGCCCTTAGAGGCTCACTTTGGAGTATGTGATGTGGAGGCGTAACCTTTAGGTGGCCCTAAAGCCTCGTCTTGGGCTCTTTGTCCTGGGGTGAGACCTGTCTCCTTAACTCCAGAACAAACAGGGAGTTGGGGGAGGATGACCCAAGAGGCCCTGGCTCCCCAGCCAAGCCCAGCCCTCTTCCCCATCTACTTCTGTTAGAATGCCAGGGGTGGGACTGGAAAGGGGACCCTCCAGGCGACCTGAGCACCATAATGTGTTTGCCCTGAACACCTCAGTGATGGAAAGTACAGAACTTCCCACAGCCTTTTCCAGGCTTCTCCTGCACCTGCAGGCACGAAACTTGAATCCTAGGGGCGCCTGGGTGGCTCAGTCGCTTAAACGTCTGACTCCTGATTTCAGCTCGGGTCATGATCTCAGGGTCGTAAGATCAAGTCCCATGTCAGGCTCCGAGCTCAGCGCAGAGTCTGCTTGAGATTCTCTCTCTCTCTCTCTCTCTTCCTCTGCCCCTCCCCCTGCTCATGTTTTCTCTCTAAAGTAAATAAATAAAATCATTTGAAGGAAGGGAGGGAGGGAGGGAGGAAGGAAGGAAGGAAGGAAGGAAGGAAGGAAGGAAGGAAGGAAGGAAGGAAGGAAGGAA